TTGAAAATAACCAAATGTATGATTAACACGCTATGTTAAATGCTGATGTTATCTTGTCTAATCGCGAGTCAAATAAAATTATACGTTTTCACACCAAGTTTTCATGCTCATTACATTTTTTTAAGTCATTTGTACATACGTTAAATTTTTTATACATTTTCAATAAATTCAATGATTAATCTTTTATAGTTTTTACACTTACTTAAACTGTATTTATTGGCTTTACTTTATTGATGACCTAACTGACAGATAAGCGGATCTAATCAATGTTATTATACATATTTATAAATAACAAAAACAAATATGTATTGTACTATGATATTTTATCTATATATTTGCATATATGTATTTTACGTGCAAAAACCACTAGGTATTGAACAAAAGACAAGTAAATAACTAAACTTGTTTATTTTGTTTGAGCACTTTTTTTATTTTAAATTTATGTAATAGCTGTATCAAAATTTAAAATAAATAGTTATGACTTTAGCAATTTGAGTTGCAGTTTTATTTTACTAGTCTTTTATATTTTTTATTTAACTGGATGCAAACCCTTAAACATCACAAAACTATTTTTAAAGACACAATCTAAGCCTTCGAGCTTCTTCATAAAAAAATTAAAACAAAATGATATTTTTGGTATAAAAATACTTGAGCATTATCTTCTCAATTGTACTTTCAAATTAACTACAATCAAGGCGAGATTTTAGGTTTATTTTTTTGTTAAATTGAATTCATTAATTGAAGGTTTTGGTTAGCCTTCTGTGGTTTACCAAGGCCTATGGTGATGTTCCTCAAATTTTTTCCTATAATTTAATTGATGATTTATTAACAACTAGAAATATAAGTAGACTTTTTATTATATATTATTTTAAGTATTTCATGTAAGGACGACTGTTAATAACTATAATAATATAAAGTGAACGTTTTATATGTCTTAATATCTAATCAAAAGTAGTGCTTAATATCAAAACCAGGTTTTAAGTTTTATATACGAAGTATCTAACAAATATAATATGATATTTTAAACATAGTGTTCTTGAACTTTTTGATTTAACATATAAATGTTATTATTAGTCTTACGGTCGTTTTTGTAACAGTATTTTGTAATATATGAATGATCCGTAACAAATATGCAACTAATTAACTTTACAACATAAAATTGTTATATAAATACAAAAAGAAACAACAATACATACCCAGGATATAGTTTTGTTGAATTTTTTTTGTAGTAAGTTTAATTCAATAGCAAAAAATAATGATAGTATTAAACATATATTTATGTATATTTTCCCAATTTCTAGTCTAGTCCGTCCAAGAGGGCACAAGTGAAGGCCGCTGTACATCCGCCTGCATAGTGAATCATCGTCAACATAGCTACAATTATTAATACCTGTTAATATGGCATGCAATAAACACTTAATGATTTCTATATAATATAAAAAATCATGTTTAATAACTATATAGGCAAAACCTATTTTAACACTAGTATTTCACTCTGATTTACTTTGTGTTTTCTTAGAAATTGCTTTTAAAGAGAAAGGTAAACAGTATATTAAAATTATAGATTTGATTACGAACCAGTACTGACATCTGTAGTAAACTATACAATTGGTTCGACGTTTCTGTGGTATCTATTAGGGATTGCGGGAAAAATTATAGCCTAAGCCTTATGGTTAATGGTAAATTTCATACAAATCTGATAAGTAGTTTCTGAGTAAAGGATCAGATATAACAACACATGTATATAGCCTCGCAAAATGTCGCTTTATAATAGTAGTAACATATAACAATACTTATAATTTTAATTCATATTTTTTTAAGTATTCATGATTTTTTGTATCAAAAATTCTCTCGAAAAACATGTAAACATCGCTATGCTATGAGGAATGATGCTCTTAATTGGTCAGCCAATTAAGTTCAGATTCCGTGTGGACGTTTATGTTTATTTTAACAGATATTTTTCAAGTAAATTTTAATTAATCAATTAATATGGAAGAACGTTTTTGAGGAATTCTTAGAGATTAAAAAAAATCATGAATATTATAAATTATATATTAAAATATTACTTTTTATTTATATTATTTTGCCAAATAAATCGGACCCAATAGTTTATGTCTTATCTTCTATTTCTTCTACCTGGCAATTTCTCATCTATAGCCAGGGTCTGCCTTACATGTTGTGAATAGTTTGGATTTGTTTTTACGACCGGCCGCCTGCCTGACATCAACCCATCTTTTGGGAATCGACATTAATCAGTGATGTCTAAATAGTCTTAGAAAGTACATATGACTCAGAAAAATCACATTGGTACTTGCCCGGGCCAGGATCGAACCCGCGCCCTCGGCAACGGGAGGCGGGTCCTTTAACCACTAGGGCACCACTGACTTGATCTTATATTGATACCAAAATCCAATGCACCTCTTATAATTTACTTGTTGCATCCTTAGTTCAATTTATCTGTAATTTATGGAGTATTTAATTTTATAACTTATATACGCATATCATAAAACGCAACAACAATACTAAATAAATAATGTATGAATTAAGAAATAAATAAACTGTTGGAAGATTGTCAGGTTAATTAAAATTAAGTATCTATATTTAACGACTGACAGAATGGCAACTTATTAACTTTTTAAAATACACGTAGTTAATAAGACAATTGATTAAAATAGGTATAATTATAAAGAAAGAGATAGAGAAGGAGAGAGAAAGAGAGAGAAGAAGTCAGATATAAACTCCAGATAAGTGAAGCAAGAGTTAGTTAATTGTTTATTATTATACTTTTATAACCAAACGAGCTACGGAAATATCAATTTTTGCGGAAATAAACACAAATTATTCTAAATTGAACAAAGAAAATAAGAAAATTAAATTCGTATCCAAATACTATTTCTGACTGAGTTGCTATAACTTAAGGCGTAGACACTACAAAAATAGTTTTGTATAGTGAAGAGTATTGTAATCATATTTAATATATGTCAGTGAATGTCAAATATGTACTTTTACAATTAACTTGTTAGTCTTACCTCATCCACACAGGTCATCAAGTTGCTAATTTAATCAAGTTGTAACCCGCTGAGAATTAATTCAATGTGAAACAAAGACTCCGGTTAAGTCAGTATGACTTGTTTCGGAATCTTTAACAGAATACAACTATTGTACTTATTCAAAGGTTTACAAATATGTTAAAATTAACAGGTATTGTATATTATTATGAGAAGTCGATAATAATGTTGACAAATTCATATACAAAGTATTAAATGATGTGTTGTCAACCCTTCTTGTCATTGTAAATATCTGTGTCAAATGAATATATTTGCATAAACATATACTTGGTATAAATATACTTTACAGACCTACTATTAATTATTAACAAGTGAATGAAATCATTAATAATAATAGCTTAAGAAATGTCATACATTTACAAAATCGAGTCAAGAATGTGTATTGTTACAAAAGTCACTTTGGCAATGGCGTTTTTATTTCAAACTTTTCATATATATTGTCAAATCGAACTATTATTTAAAATATTCGGCATAAAATTAGCATTACCTATCAAATATCGGGGTCAGAAGGTCGTCTGTGTAGTCATAACACGTCGTGAGTTGTCTTCACGATCCATTGTCCTATGTTTCGACAGTCGAATTGTCTTTACCCAGGAGAAGGTTAAATCCTAGACCTATGATCTTTTATATCTACTCTTCTTTTCTCACTTGTCCGTATAAAGAACTTGCTTAATTCATAGGTTACTTATGATGTTACAAAGAATACTGTGTTTTTTTTCGAAGGATCAAAGTAATTACTGCTATAAAATATTTGGGACTGACAAAACTTTCCTATTTTATCACGTCACAAAGTATCCTTTATTTTTTTTTCAAGAACCGAAGTATTTATTGCTACAAAGTATTTGGGACTGATGATGATTTTAAAAATATTCCTTTTATTCCAATAAGATTAACACAAATATCAAAAATTAATAATATCAACATTTTCACATGACGCTAGATTTTCTTATAAGCCATTTGAATAATATAAATTAATCATCGCACTTGAACTTTATGTATTAAACATCATAAGTGTAGCCACTAATGTTTCGAACACAATTACATTATTGCAAAACCTGTGAGAAAAAAATATATTCACCTTTAACCTGAATGAGTGCATTTATACATAGAGAACATTTTTACGACGTGTAAATAATTGTGCGTGGCATTTGGTATAATTATAAAGCTGTATATACATTTATGTAAATAAATTTTTATATATTTCAAATTGTTGAAATATATTCTATAATTATAACCTTTGGATATATGTATGTATTATGCTTAAGAATTATAACAAGCAAATATCAATCGCGCCTTAAATTGATTTGGTTAACGAAATATTCTTATAATTTTTTGTAGTTATGTTATAAGTAGTATAGAATATACTGTAATGGAACTTTCATTGAAACTAAATGTTAGTCATAAAATAATAAGTAATTAATATTAGTTTAACACCTCCTTTATACCTCCCTTCACGTAAAGCCATTTTGTAGTTATAGTTATGTATTTATTTCCAATCATAATATAATAATAATATTTATTCTAAGTAATAATGATGGTTGTCATAAAAATACACTTAAATCACTTTGTTATTATTTAATCTAGGCATATTAAGTAAGATGCGAATCATCGCTTTGTTCCTTTATAAATAGCATAAGAATGATTCACGTCTTTGGTCCATATCGATGACAACAAACTTAAGGATTTACTTCTATAACTGTTAATAAAAAAATAATTATGATACACTATTATGAAGTGATATAATTAATTACCTGTTGAAGTCTTCACTCCTTTATTAAATACGAAAATACAATACACTACCAATTTTATAATTAATTTAATTAAAATTAACATAATATTTATTTGTTCTTAATATTAATTTGTACTGTGTGCCTATTTCTGATATTATTGCTGTCATGGCAAGATAATGTTATAGTTAATAATATTGAAACATTAGATAAGAGAAAATTCAGGTACTAATGGTGGTAAACTCTTGAATACTTTTTCATATCCTTCAAAAAGTGTGCCGAAACGCGAATTGAAATCGCTAATACTGCAACAGAATGTGAAGCCCTTATTTACATCCTGCCAATCGTTGTTTCGTAACCAGTCGACTTCGGAACATATATCGTTACATGGCATGTAAGAATAGGCTTCCGCTGACGTAAGATTAGGAATATTTAGTTGTATGACTGCTAAGGAAGAATTATCTGCCGGGTTTTGGACTATCTGTAATCAAAAAATATAAATGTGCGTTAATGTTCAAGTTAATATGAATACCTTTTTTTAACCATGAAAAAACTTGCAATTTAGTAGGGTCATTGTGTGGTTCTTGTATTGTACATATTCAGGCATTTATTTATTTTTATAAATAGGCTATTTTTGTCCTACCTTCCATAAATACATTGGCACTGGTTGACGTCTGTTCAGTCTGTCTCTTAAGGACACATAAGCATCTTTTGTCTGTCCTGGCAACATCATCGGATCTGATGCTCCAGTGAAAACGGTGTGCTCGTAATATGAATATTTTGCCAGATATCGTACTCTTAGTTCAAGTTCATCCCAGTTCTGATTAAAGAATATATATTTAGTTTATTTTTAAAGTTAATAGAATAAGCCTATGTAATTCAATACTTACTTTAGTTCCACAGGTACTCCAATGAGGTATTACATTTAAATAGCTATATACAGCCACTTGTGATAGTCCCGGCAGAACATCACGAGGATTGATCAAATGTCTTTTTGTAAAACAGCATTCAGGATCCTTAAAATCTGATTTTATTGATTTGCCGATTGACGATGAAATAAATCTTAATTGAGAATCACAGTCATACATATCCCCAAAATGGAACGGCAAAAATTTACTTTCAACAAATGCATAATCTCCGGAAGGTGCATTCAAGGCGATGCCTTTATTTAAAATTTGTTTTGCAAAGACAGGTATCCTCTGTTCATAATCTAAACAAACTTCGTATACCTTCAGAAACTTACTTCGTGAAGTAAAACCAATTTGCAGTAATTCTGTGTTTTTTCTGTATTGTTCAAAACAGCTCATACCCGTTCGCTTTGCTAGAGGTTTAATTTTTTCGGCACATTTTAATTTATCGTAATCAATGATTCTGTTTCTTATTTCTATTTTGTCTTTTTCTATTGAACACTTCGTTTTGACATTTTGACCAAATGTTTGTCCATCGTAAATGATAGAACTGCCAGGACATGTTAGAAGGAAATCTTTATAAATTGGTATATGGACGTGTTCTTTTGATGTTTTAAATTCTGGCCAGTCTCTTGATAGAGTCAAAAGTAAAGGCTGTTGATCATTAAAATCATACTTAGTACGCAGCAAGCATTCTGAAAATCAAATGGTATCAAGATTTTACAACGGTCTGTTTGTAAAAAAAAACAAAAAATATTTTTCTGATATACCAATAAATTATGATTTCAATGACAATAACTAAGTTTTTTTTACCATGAACCACATTCAAATGTATTTAAAGGAGGTAGTTTGAAATTGCGGTAACAAATTGTAACTTATACCTTAGCCATATTTTAATATCTCTTTATCGAAAACGAGAAGTGAGCTGTGACTATTATTATGTTTATATTATTCATTGTGAATCATTTCACAGGCGTCGAATAAATTCCCAATAATTGACTTTAGTCTCTTACCTCCTGAATTAATTTTAAAAGTGCGGCTAATTGCTCCAAGCTCATTTCTTACTGTACATTGGTAGTATCCAATATCTTCAGGTTTCATTTCTACAACCACATACGACGTATTTGTAGGTATGGGCTCACCGTTACGTGTCCATTGAGTCTAAAATTTCAAAAATAGATAAATTTATATTACAATTTGTATAACACTCATAGAAATTGATCTCTAAAAGTGATGTCATTGTAACTCAAGAAAACTATAGAAATCATTAAAAATGGAAATAAAGCGAATTAGTTAAACCATCGCCGAACTTACGCTTGGATTCGGATAGCCGTCAGCCTCGCAGTTCATATAAGAAAAGTCGCCTTCCGAATATTCTATAATAGTTTCTTCGTCACTTAGAAATCTTGGTTTATAACCTACAGTCACCTTTTTATGCGCAGTATGAGCTGACAAAAATGTACTAACACGACAACTGTATACACCCGCATCTTTTAATGAAACTTGGTTTAAATACAATTTATCTCTTGCTATCAGTTCCCCATCCTGAAAAATATACCAAAAAGTTTATGATTAACTTAATGCAGTATTATTAAAAATGAGAAATTTTATGTGTTTGATATATTTGTAACCTTCATTTCAAGGCACTTGAAAGTAGTTTGATAGTAGTTATATGTGAACAAGAAGATAGTTTATTTAGACAAAAATCCTTTTTTAGATGCAGAGTGAGAAAAAAGTTCTTATATAAATATATTTCACGCTAATTAACAAACTTTGCCTAACACCGAATGACTTTATTTGGTAAAACAAATAGTTTCGAAAGTTATATATATTTTTAAAAATAAAATGATTTTTTACATACATGACATACAAAAATTAAGCTTTAGTTTCAAAAATTAATCAATACCTTGTACCAGTTAACAATATCTCCAGTTTTATGTGGTAGATCACATTCAAGATCAGTTGAATTTCCTATTTCTAATATTACAGTATCCGTTACCACTTCAGGCTGGGCTGGGCTTGCTGAAATTAAAAATTCACATATAATCGTGAAGGTATTATTACTATTAATATTTGTAATCTGGAAAAGCCTGAAACAAAATTAACAATCCATATACATTATTAAGTAAGTAAGAAGTTAGTTTTCTTCTCTTTACTCCCTTCTCATCTCAATTTCGTTTCCGCCAAGATCCCATACATTTTTTTTAGGCAAATAATTTATTTTCCTTATTAGACTTTTTTACCTTTTTTTTATAAATTTTCAGGTTGTTAATATTCGCTATTCTTCTATATTATTACCATCAATTAGTTTGGTAATATGGCTTATAGTGTAAAATCGTCTTTATCAAGTGTCTTTTATCTGATGTTAGTAAATTTGATTCAGTTTTTTTAATATTAACTTTTATATGGAATACAACAATTCATTATTAAAATTTAAACAATAATAGTATACAATTTATCTCCAGAAAACCAGATTTCTGTAACCCATCTAGCTAGATTAGATCTCTGTTGATTTCATACCCGTTAAGAATTGGTCACAAAAATTGGACAAGATTCGCAAACTATGTATCTATTTGCGGCGACGGTTGTTTTTTTTTAAACAAATCAATCAAAATTGTTTATCAATTGTTTGTTTTGCCGGATACTAATTGTAACAGTTTAAATAATAAGTAGTGGTTATATGAATGTAGTTGGATGTTAAATTATTTTTAGAATTCAGACTGTAATTTATTCTGAAAGCAATACTGTAACCTGAAAGTTAAAAGTGGTTACTGAATCAGTCGTCTTTTTATATTTAATCGGTAAAAGTAAATACATAAGCATATACACTTTCCTTCACAAATTTAATAATTTTAAAACACCAAATTAAATTATTTTAAACGAATGATCGGAGTTTTTGCAAGTTTTGCTTATATACAATGCTTGTGACCTATGAAAAAGTATGATGAAAAAAATTACATACATATTTTATACCTACCGAAATTTCTTGGTAATAAAAATATCTTATGTTTGACGAGATATAGCACGTAATAAATTAATTATTCTAATTGAAATAAGTAGTGCTTACCTTTTACATTTACATTGAATTCTTTAATGTCTGAACTGAAATAGTTTCGTGCTTGACAAATATAACTTCCTTCAGAATTAAGAGTTACGTATTTAATTACCAAAGTGCCATCATCTTCTATATCGTACCAATCAGTCCCTAAGGAAGAACAAACAAAGTTTTATTGAAAAGTAATACGTATATCATTAATTCTATAGAGTCATTTTAAGTACGATATTTTATGATAAATAATAACTGTCTTCGAGATAAAATAAAATTTCTCACATACTGAAATATATTAATTGAATATCTGGATGCGAATAATGATCGACAAGAGAATCTGTTTTTTGTTTAAATATATAATGTTAACTAGCTTTCCGCCCGCAGCTTCGACCGCGTGGAGTTCTGTTACATAGAGAACTTTTCAAAAGTCTGGGATAAAAACTATCTTATGTTTTTTCTCAAGGTCAACTCTATCTTTGTACCAAATTTCATTAAAATCAGTTCAGTGGTTTAGGCGTAAAAGCGTAACAGACAGACAGAGTTACTTTCGCATTTATAATATTAGTAGGGATGTTGTTTTCGTTTAAGGATGCCAACCTGAAGCAATTTGTTCCCCATTTGCTTTCCATGTTATTTTAGGTTTCGGGCTGCCAATGGCATTACAGGGTATCCTAAGCGCCAAGTCGCCCTTTACAACGTTATAAACAACTCCATCTGGATTCGTAATAGATACAGGAGCTGGAAAATTAAAAATCGTATGAATTCACTAAATATTCTAACAAGAATTGCCTACTTTTTCTTCAGTACATTTTTTCTTGGTTGAAACTCTAAGGGTCAAATATATAAAACAGTTACTTCTAAGATAATCTTAGAGGGTATTAATTAATCAACTCCTTCTATTTTATTATAGCAAATTATCAGATCATATACTTTGCTTTACGGTGCAAAAATAATTTATACCTCTGACAAGAACTTTGTAGGTAACACTACTCAACCCTCCGACGTTACTCGCAGAGCACCTATAGTAGCCTTCATCTTCAATTTGAACATGTTCTAAGTTATATGAGCCGGTATCTTCAAATCTAAAATGACAAAATAAATTAATTATCAAATTAAAATATATTGTATAATATTCCTACAATCCTTACTTCAATGTCCTAGGGCGACTGTTAGAATTTTTTCTGTAAAAAGTCCATGTCATGTTTGGTTTTGGGTAACCATCAGCACGGCATTGTAATGTCGTTGAACTTCCAACATCTAATTTTAAAGTAGTGTCTTTCGGCACCTGCATTTTTACTGGCACTGTAAATGTTTTATAATTATTTGTATCCTTATACTTTTAAATTTCGCTTTATAAGTACTATATTTTCCTGTAACTCACTATAAATTTGAACATCGTAGTCCTTTTGTGTCTGTCCTAAAATATTTGAAGCTTCGCAGGTGTATACGCCGCTATCCTCAAGTGAACCTGTAAAACTAAAAAAAACTTGTGTTTTTAGCCGCAACCATAAAAAACTATTATATGCATCTTATTTACCTTAGTGTGTTGTCATTGAATGAATATTTTCCTTTTCTTGTTACTTCCACATCATTACGTAACCAACGAACGAAAGGGTAAGGAGAGCCGTCGACTATACAAGTTAATATAACTTGTTGACCCTCCGGCACTAAAACCTCAGTTTTAACATCCTTGATTGTTGGGACATCTATTGGTGATATTTCGTACTTTTAATTTAATATATATATCATGTCTGTTAAATATAACTCGTCGTAATATTTACAAACTTACAGCCAACGAACAAGTCAATATCATGACTATCTTTTCCAAATTCATTTCGAGCTTTGCAGGTGTATATTCCCATATTCTCTGGACCAACCTTATCAATATAAAGATCACCAATGACATCTAAACGCTTTGCAAAACCTGGTGATTCATTTTGAAAAGTCCAAAAAATTTCAGGTTCTGGTTTACCTCTTACGATTCTGTGGAACAAAGTAAAAGAATAATAATTATACTATGTCTAAGAAAACGATTCGTTGAATAGAACAAAATGTGTGGTCGTCATCGCAATTTTTTTATTTATATACTATTATATTTATGTCGTATGTAACGCATAAGTTTAGATATTAGTTAGCTTCACTAGACAAATAGGTACTGGGAATCAGTTTATGTAGCTGTTTTTCTCTAATTAACTCGAAATGTTCAATATGAATAGTCTGAGAATTGGAAACAAATGAACGAGTTTCTACTTATTGTTTCTCGGTCCAAACCATAGCAAATGCTACTTACTCCAAAGAACTATTTACCTTTTTATGTTTAATAGCACAATTTAATTTAATTTAATTTATTTTGTCTCAGACATAGCCCATATTTTAATTTTAGTATTACATGGCAACCTTATAACTAATGTTAGTAAAAACAAATAATAATAATAATAAACAAAAACAAAAACAAATAATAAAAAACAATGCGAAATAGTTTGGAAGTTTGTGAATATGATTCAACAACTCTGAAGAGCTTAAGCATTAAGTGAGCGATAATATTACGCATCAAAATAGGCGAACTAGACAGGCTGCTATGTCAGAAAATGAGAAAAAACAAAGTTACCGCTAGAATATTTTCCAAAATCACTTAAATATTTTCTTAACTCCTTTTGATATAACATATGATTACAGGAAACTGGGGTTGCAAGGACCCTCTAATTCTTGGTTTAAGTATTGTATTCTCCAATATTATATACTCCAATTTCTTACCTGCATGTTAAATTCAGACTAGATCCCTTCTCTATGTTATAAGAACTCACAGTCTTGTCTATTTCAGGCTTTTCTGAAATTTGCAATTTAAAATAACATATAAAAATTTAAATACAGAGCATATTTTCGTGAATAAAATTGCTAAAGTACTATTACTAAGCAATTGATAAACAGTGAAAAATACCATCAAAAAATTTGTTTCACGAAAAATAACGATTTATAACTTATTTTAAAGATACTCAAGGCTATCGCGAAATCTATATTAAATAATAAAAATATTACAAATACATTTAATTCCTCTACCTCCAGACATATCTATTTTGAAATGAATTATCTTTTTTTCTTCTTCATTCATAGCTTTCACTGAATAAAATCCTCTTAAACCTTGATGCATGTGTTTAATTTTTAGTGCGGAACCATCGGAAGATATTTCGTAATCAGCGTCATTAAAAAGTTCTTTCGTTTTTTTAAACCATTTTATTGTTGCTGGTGGATATGCATTCACTTTGAAATTAAGAACATTCGAACTTCCATACTCAATGACCAAATCTGTAAAATATGTTTGTCACTTCAAATGATTGCTATTGATGTTCACAGATCAATTTGTTAAATATTTTACGAACCTTTCGGGCTTTCGAGAATTTCAAGGAAGTAATTTCTTTTAGTTTCGACTGCAATAAATTTTTTATCTTCACCGATTTCATTTTTCGCTGTACAATATAAAGTTATATTTTTATTTATTTTATCTATATCAAGAATACTCATATATTCATATGGAAGGTCCACGGGGATTACCTGTAAAATTTAATTGCAAAATAAAGTTGTTATTCTATAGATATAAAGCAGAAATAATGTTTTTCTGAGTATTACTTTTGATGGCCAAATTTTTCCTGAGTCATCTTTCCAAACAATGTCTGATTTAGGAAAACCGTGCACTTTGCATTTCAGGGATAAATTAGACTCGTATTCAACAGCTGTAGAACCTCCTTCTAAAATTATGACCATTGGTGGTATTCGGTTTGGTCCTTCTACAAAAAAAATATATATATATTGTATACAAAAAACAAAAGTTATAAAATATACATATATATTTCAATTCTTGTATACCTAATTCAGGTTTTTGATGTTCAATAGCCGTTGTTGCAATTCTAGTTATTTTCTCTTTAGTGCTTGTGTGACCATTTATCTAAAAAAAATATGTTTTTGCATCAATTCAGTCTTATTCATAATAAAATATGTATATATATATATATATATATTTACTTACTGCGATTTTGAAGGTAGAATCAGGTGTTAGAATTGGTTTTGTTATGTAGAATTGATTGTCTTTGTTTAGCAGTTCTAATGGATAAGCACTTAAGATATTATCATCAATGTCTCTAATTTCTACTGTGTCTAATATAACATCTCTGGCAACATTGTCCAATTCTATAGCTAAATAAGATGTTGTATCTGTAAGATTGAATTAAGTATTATTTCATTTCTTAATTTATTTGCGTTCAAGTTTATTGTAAAAGATGATTTTTATTTTATATTTAACCGCTAATAATGTTGAAGAGGAGATATATTACATTTTTTTTACTGTAACATACCTTCGATAGGTTTAGTAGACGTTTCGTTCAATGTGCTAGGCATGACAGTAGAAAAACCATGTTGAAAACAAACAGATGTGGACCCAGTTATAACCACTGAGGTTTGGCCGACGTTATCCAGGACCATCGTGTATAACCCTGGTTTAACATCCAATTTAGATATCTGAAGGGAATAATTTGATACATTGAAATCAATTGGATTCTATGATACCAATAAAGGATTAAAGTCGTGGTGACCTAGAGGTTAAAGGCCCGCCTCTCATGCAGGAGGCTGCGGGTTCGAAACCTGGCAAGTGACTAATTTGATTTCTTCAGTCATATGTACTTTCTAGAAACATTTAGACACCACTGACAGACGGTGAAGGAAAACATCGTGAGGTAAACTGGACTTATAATTATAAACCATAAGTTTGGGATCGCCAACCCGTTTTGAGCAAGCGTTGTGATTAATACTCAAATCTTCTCAGTGTGAGAAGAGGCCTTTGCTCAGCAGTGAGTTCTGATACGCTGATGATAATGATGAATAAAGTATTTTGCTTACACTGGATTTCTCTGTACTGATGAAATCTTTAACATCTACTAATTCCCCATCAGGACCATTTATGTGATATTTTGGTGCGTCAGCTGATACAGAAATCATTACATCCCACAGCTTGCTGTCTATAGAAAACTAAAAAAAAAAGTTGTAGTTTAATTATTTAATATAAAGATATAAATATTATTCCTCCTACTTAAAGCACTGCCTACTTTAAAATTATTACCGGAACCGTCAAGAAACCGTTTTTGGGCCACAGTTGTCTTTTTGCTTTTTATCGTTGCTATGATATAGTCGATAATCTGTAAAATAAATAAACACTCATACAAGTATTTACGAAAATGAAAAAACTTTTTCAAAAAGCGAACTATTGATTGGACATACATTTTTCGACAAAAAAAAAACTTAATGAAAATAGGAACTTTAAAAATATTTATTCTGATAATAAATGTATTAAGATATATGTATACATATCTGTAGTCAGTTTTCTCGTCTTAAAGCCTGTGTATATAGTATCCAGTATTTTATAACCTGCCTGTATAGGCAAAATAGCTAAAGCAATATTGAAGTACCAACAAACTATAATGGCACAAAAAAACTTGTACAGCCGAGTTAAATTATGTAGTTTTTAAGGTGAAATCTGTCAAGACATTAATTTAATAAAGTGGTTAAATATGAATAGCGACTGAGCTCGAAAATGAATTAATAATAAATATAAAAAAGAATCAGGCAAACTTACTTTGCTCACATCCTGTTTATCTAAGTGGAAAACTTGTCCTGAAGTAGTTTCAGCTAAATTATCATAAACAGTAAATGCCTCTTTTGGAGTGTCATCACATTCTCCGGTCAGTAAAAAGGTTACCTGAAAATAGTATACACAATATCTTATTCTATATCAAGTTTAAGAAACTAAGATATCGGATACTAAACTTTTTTTTATTATTTTTTCACTAAATAATCAAGAATTTTCGGTTCTTTTATAGCAACTGTGATCACGGGCAGACGAGATGAAGTTAAAATTTTATAGTGTTTTAATCCCAGTTATCATATATAAAAACAGAAAACATATAGACGAATGAATATAATTTAAGGTAAATATTAACAGTTTCCCCTAATTTCAATCAAATGTGAATTTTATAAAAATAGAAACATATTAAGACCCAGTTTCACCAATCAATGTTAAATAAGTAGCTTGTTAAAGTGTTTGATGGTCTGTTAGATGTATCGAGCGTCCCACCACACACAAATGTCCGTATAAATGTCTTAACAAGATATCAATATTAATTCCTGCTCTAGAGCTCCGTCAAATTTCTAACAGACTGTTAATGCATTGTCAAAACCCAATAAACCAATCACAGCCCTGATTTCCTATAACTATAGTAACGTCATCTGTTTTGTCAGTATCGACTATTTCCTTGTGCTTATTAATAAAGTGAATTAAAATTTCATTTCCTATGATGATTTTGCCTCCAGCTTTTCTATAACATTGCAAATTGTTTTCTTTTTATCTTTTATAATTTGAACATAACTTATGCCTATATTTATATGTAACACAATAATATATAACATAATTTATGGACAACACGATTTTGATAGGTTACACCTAGTAAATTGAAAAGAAAGCTTTTTGTGTGCCAAATGTATGAAACCAACGATATATAAAATTTGTTCACATTAGCTTACATGTGATGTATCGAGGGATATATACGATCGAAGTATAAAGTGGTCATCGTGACAAACGTGACGTATTTAACGCTATACTTTCCTTTTGGTCGTCTTACTCGTATAACAAGAACGAATAATTTTGTAGTCGGTCATTTAACATGACATTTAATAACGCATTATTAATTTGTTATCGTGGAACGTAAATATTTTAACAGAAATTTATAATTTTGAAGGTTTGTTAGTAAATGCTTTGTTTAGGTTTAACAAACATTGATTTGTGAAACTGGGTCTTAGAATCCATGCAAACGATTGTTGATTTCTAGTTACCTTATCTTGGAAACCTTAATAAGTCACATTTATATAATATACAAAACAGATAAATAAAAATTGTGAAAAAATGCTTTATAAAGGATAATAAAACCTGAATAGACTTCTTGAGCGCTAAGCTCTTTATTTTTTCGTACTCCTTATAATCCTTTGCAGCTGCGTCCGTGAAAACATAAAACAATGAATTAGGTTTACTATGCTCTAAAGCAAGTTGGATTCCTTTCATTGAGTACTCAGGACAATCTCCTCCGCCGTCTACAGTTATACCATAAAGTGCCTTTTTGAATTCTTTACGATCTCGTGTAGCTTTGTAGACTTTTGCATCTGAAAAACGTAATATTGTTATTAATTTGCTAGTCAAACAATGAGTCTAAACATTTATTTATCTACATATATGTGATGTCAATTAGATTTCATTATTCAAGGGAATCCCAATGAATAAATAAATGTTAGATAAGAATATCGCATACATATAAACATGTATATTAAAACATACCAATAGGTTTTTTATCAAATATTATTTAAATAGGATGCATAAGTGTTGTTTTGTTCAATTGTCAAAACTTCACGTCTTGTCTTGAAATTTAATCTATACTAATATTATAAAGCTGAAGAGTTTGTTTGTTTGTTTGTTTGTTTGTTTGAAAGCGCTAATCTCCGAAACTACTGGTTCGAATTGAATAATTCTTTTTGTGTTGGATAGTCCAGTTATCGAGGAAGGCTGTAGGCTATATAACATCACGCTACGACTAATAGGAGCAAAGATATAGTGGTAAATGTGTAAAAAACGGGAGAAATTATTTCATCTTTGAAGCCTTCCGTTGCGTGCGCCGTGAAAACGGTTCAAGATACACAAAAAATATGTATTAAAGAATAATAGCTCTCTTAATGATCTAAAAAACAGTCCGCGACAGTATATGTCTATTTTTTAAGATTAACTCACAAAAACCCTTTTTATGGTACCTAATTTTGTCGAAATAATTTGTTTAAGTTGTATCAACATAATAATATAAATCTTTATTGATATAAACAAATAAATATGTTGTTGGTTAAGAGTACTTCATGATTAATAAAAAAAACATAGGTTTCATCCTGAAAATTCTACGGGAACTCGACCATTCCGAAAACCCCGCAAGAACGGGAACTATGTGGGAAAGAGCTATGAAAAGCGTTATATAAATATACACAAATATATTATGAATCTAAGATTTTTGCGTGTACATATTTAAATGAAACTAAGTTTCAGTTTTTTTAATGTCACTACCTCACACTATAACTTCGTCTACAAGTGATCACGGTTACTGTAAAGGAACCGAAACGCCTTAATTATGTGGATATAAAATAATAAAATGAAGCATAGTATCCTAAAAACATAGTTTTACAAATATATTAAATAAAGAAACATCTTACATTTCGTTTTATCGTACTATCAACTCGCGCAATCGAAAGGTCAAATGGCTTTTTATACACTCATTCATATTTCTAAAGTAAATACTATAAATTTTGTTGAAATAAAATAAGTTTAATTGAAATTCATTGCATTAATTTTAATTATATATTCAACTAACCTGGATCATTAAAGGTGACAAGCAGGAATTCATCTATTTTTGATGCGTTCGAATTGAGTACTGCATCGAACACTTCGTTTGTCCTCGCTTTTACTTGATCTATATCATCGGACATAGAGCCTGTATCATCTATCACGAACGTAAGGCTGCTTTTAGTATTATGCCCGTTTGTAAAACCGTACAAAACTACTAATATAAATATTAACAACATCGCTGAACAGTTGCGCGTCTTACATTCAAAATGAAACTGAGTTTGTAATTGCCCATCTATAAATACATTGACCATGTGATAAGAATAAATTGAGTGATGTTTATTTATTTCCATATCAGTGCGGGAATATCCCTGGATATGAATATTACAGAGCACCATTCATTGGCTTTTTATTGTGTTACTTCATTAATCTTCTATCTTCTATATACATATATAAAAATGGATTGCTGTTCCTTAGTCTCGCTAAAACTCGAGAACGGCTTAACCGATTTGGCTAATTTTAGTTTTGAAATACTCCTGGAAGTCCAGGGAAGGTTTAAAAGGTGAGAAAAATTGGAATAATTGCCGGGAAAACCCTAAAAACAGCCCTTTTCTATTTCCCATACAAACGTTTTTTTTGACATTAGATTTGAGAACTAACTAATATGTCAATCATTCTGTTTGATTGAAACAGGAAAAACCTCATTATTTATGGCCTCTAAGACGCAATAGAGTTCGCCTGGTCAGCTATACCTACATATATTACTCTTGACCAAACTAACGCGGACGAAGTCGCGGGCAAAAACTAGTATATATATAAAAATGGATTGCTGTTCCTTAGTCTCGCTAAAACTCGAGAACGGCTGAACCGATTTGGCTAATTTTAGTCTTGAAATACTTCTGAAAGTCCAGGGAAGGTTAAAAAGGTGAGTAAAATTGGAATAATTGCCGGGAAAACCCTAAAAACAGACCTTTTCTATTTCCCATACAAATGTTTTTTTGACATTAGATTTGACAACTAACTAATATGTCAATCATTCTGTTTGATTGAAACAGGAAAAACCTGATTATTTATGGCCTCCAAGAAGGAATAGAGTTCGCCTGGTCAGCTATACCTACATATATTACTCTTGACCAAACTAACGCTGTTTTAGCGATAAGGCCGCCTATTGTACATTTTTTTTTCTTTATGTTACTCCTATTATTTGTCTATATTGGTGTACAATAAAGAGTATATAAATAAAATAACGCGGACGAAGTCGCGGGGAAAAACTAGTATTATAATATAATTCTAATCATTATTGTCACGTGGAAACTAAAGTCGTGTTTAGAGAGAGAGAGTTTTTTCAAGTACAATAATTTACTACTTTTGAGAGTAACGTGATAAAATATGAGTTAAGAGTAATAAGGCTCTCCGGTTCGTCTGCTTCTGATTTTTTGTTTTGTTTTGTACGTGTATTACGTACGCACAACATATTAAAAATTAAATGAACATAACCGGGGCAACATTACTGTATAGATAAAATATCATATTACGAGTGACGCCGCCGACTCCGCGGAACGAACACAAAGCCGTGTGGACTAGAAGATTCCTGATACCACATAAGCTGTGCAATGGGATTGCTATCCTAACATCGGGACAATAATGTAGTCTTAGGTATAGGTTATAAGTTTTAATATGTATTTCTTATTATAATATACATACATTTAAGTAAGTTTACGAGTTTTCTGGAATCTCCGGTTCGTAATTCAGTTCTATATTTGATGCCCTTTTTGACATAACATTAGTTTTTATGTGTAAATTAAAACAATTGATTGTTAACAACAGTATAACTGCTCCTGGCACTATTTTGCTAGCATTGCAATCATAGTTAAAAACATTACATTTCTAGAATAGGAATTCATTATCTTGTTAATACCATTTTTTTAAACACTTATAATGTATAGATTTTTTCAATTGTTGTTTTTTCTTTGACTAAATTATGGTTGGTCCTAATGCAACTTTTACTACATATATTTGCTGTAGTTGAAGAGCCCATAACATAGAAAATTATTATTTTATTTGTATTAAAGAGAATTTTAAAAAAGGCTTCAAAACTGAAACTGAAAGCTTCAAAATAATATAATGTGTTTTTCATACAAGATTCTTTGAATTTGATAACAATGTTTATTTATTTGTTAACTAAAATTTATTTAAAAATTTGCTTTAAATAAAATACATTTACTTGTAGCAGGGGAGCTCAAGCGGGGTTTTCGGGATTTACTAAAGCGGGGCAGATTAATATACAGGGGAATACCTTGTACCCGGTTAAGTACCTCCACCAAACATGAGCCCCATATTCAAGGCCGCCCGTGGAGGATGTAGGATCAGATTATTATAAAGAAAAATTACCATCAGATACGCGTCAGATTAAGATAGAGTGAGCTAATTACATCCTAAAAAGTGTATTTTTCCTAATCTGACACTAATTTGACCATTTAACAGTGACGCAAAGGAAGGGAGGGGAGTATATACTTGTTCACGTTGACTCGCGGACGCGGTGGCGGGCGCGGTTACGAAATATCAAACATATCACGTGATTTCCAAGTGTTCACGTTCAAAACTCACGTGCGGTCTAAGTAGCGAACTAACTAGCGATTTTCGTGTGCGGTGTGCTCGTGGCAATTTCAAACGCCTGAGACGTGTGTGTGTGTTCATGTGAAACTAGCGGCGACGTGCGCTTTTCACTCGCAACGTCAGGAAAGTTCAACCAGTTTGAACTTATCGCTAAGAATGATAACACGTTTCTATCATGTCATTCAATACAGAAGAGTTTATGAGTGCTGTTCAGGCTAGAACTCCTATTTGGCAAAGTAAAAACAGTTATCATATGATCAGAAATGTTCTTAATAAACTTTGGACCATATTTACGACCTCTGACAATGCTTCACACTCGCGTGAACGCCTGGCGCTTAACGTGAACACGAGCTCGCAACGTTTCCAGCGCCCGCACCAGCTCCGCGCTCGCGTGTACCTACGTGAACGAGCATTTTAGTTGGAAAGCGTCGTCTCAATATTCTCGAGAGTAACTTATTGTCTCTTTTATTTTGAAAAAAATAATTCAAGATTAACGAAAAATACATACATAAATAAATCTAATTTTAAAGTTGAGTCTTTTGGCACCTGCATTTTATTAGCACTGTAAATGTTTTATAATTACTTGTATTGTTAATAAAAGTTATTATTATTTTAATTTTGCTTTATAAGTACTATATTTTCTTATAACTATAAATTTGAACATCGTAGTCCTTTTGTGTCTGTCCTAAAATATTTGAAGCTTCGCAGGTGTATATGCCGCTATCGTCAGGTGAACCTGTGAAACTAAAAAATACTTGTGTTTTTAGCCGGAACAATAAAAAAACTAGTACTCGTATATGCATCTTATTTACCTTAGTGCGTTGTAATTGAATGAATATTTTCCTTTTCTTGTTACTTCCACATCATTACGTAACCAACGAACGAAAGGGTAAGGAGAGCCGTCGACTATACAAGTTAATATAACTTGTTGACCCTCCGGCACTAAGACCTCAGTTTTAACATCCTTGATTGTTGGGACATCTATTGGTGATATTTCGTACTTTTAATTTAATATATATATATATATATATATATATCATGTCTGTTAAATATAACTCGTCGCAATATTTACATACTTACAGCCAACGAACAAGTCAATATAATGATAATCATTTCCAAATTCATTTCGAGCTTTGCAGGTGTATATTCCCATATTCTCTGGACCAACCTTATCAATATAAAGATCACCAACAACATCTAAACGCTTTGCAAAACCTGGTGATTCATTTTGAAAACCCCAGGAAATTTCAGGTTCTGGTTTACCTCTTACCATTCTGTGGAACGAAGTAAAAGAATAATAATTATACTATGTCTAAGAAATGTTTCGTTGAATAGAAAAAAATGTGTGGTCGTCATCGCAATTTTTGGGATTTATATACTATTATATTTATGTCGTATGTAATGCATAAGTTTAGATATTAGTTAGCTTTCATCAGTTTATGGAGCTGTTTTCTCTTATTAACTTGAAATGTTTAATATATATTACGCATCAAAATAGGTGAACTCCACAGGCCTCTATATGGATTTCTATGTCAGAAAATCAGAAACCGCAAGTCACCGCTAATATATATTCGAAAATAACTAAAATATTCTCTTAACTTCTTTTGATATTAAATACGACTACGGGAAACTGGGGTCGCAAGGACTTTCTAAATTTTGGTTTTAATATGTATTATATTCTCCAATTTTATAAAATAAAATAAATTCTTACCTGCATGTTAAATTCACACTAGATCCCTCCTCTATGTTATAAGAACTCACAGTCTTGTTTATTTCAGGCTTTTCTGAAATTGCAATTTAAAATAACATAAAAAACTAAAATACAGAGCATATTTTCGTAAATAAAATTGCTAAAATACTCCTATTAGTAAGCAATTGATAAACACTGAAAAATAACATCAAAAAATTAGTTTCAAGAAAAATAACGATTTATAACTTTTTGTAAGATACTCAAGGCTGTCGAGAAATCTGTATTTAATGAAACAAATATGTATTACAAATACATTAAATTCCTCTACCTCCAGACATATCAATTTTGAAATGAATTATCTTATTTTCTTCTTCATTCATAGCCTTCGCTGAATAAAGTCCACTTAAAGTTTGATACATGTATTTAATTTTTAGTGTGGAACCATCGGAAGATATTTCGTAATCACCGTCATTAAAAAGTTCTTTCGTTTTTTTAAACCACTTTATTGTTGCTGGTGGATATGATTTCACTTTGAAATTAAGAACACTCGAACTTCCATACTCAATGACCAAATCTGTAAAATATGTTTGCTATTTCAAAAAACCGCTTTTAATGTTCTTAGATCAATTTGTAAAATATCTTACGAACCTTTGGGGCTTTCGAGAATGTCAAGGAAATATTTTTTTTTAGTTTCCACTAAAATAGTTTTTTTTATCTTCACCGATTTCATTTTTCGCTGTACAATATAAAGTTATATTTTTATTCATTTTATGTATATCAAGAATACTCATATATTCATATGGAAGATCCGCGGGGACTACCTGTAAAACGTACATACAAAATAAAGTTGTTATTCTACAGATACAAAGCAGAAATAATGTTTTTGTGATAATTACTTTTGATGGCCAAATCCTTCCTGAGTCATCTTTCCAAACAATGTTTGATTTAGGGAAACCGTGCACTTTGCATTTCAGGGATAAATTTGAATCGTAATCAACAGTTGTAGAACCTCCTTCTAAAATTATGGCCACCGGTGCTGTTCGGTTTGGTCCTTCTACAAAATAAAAAAAATAATAAAATTTATATTGTATACAAAAAACAAAATTGGTGAAATATACATATATATTTCATTACTTGTATACCTAAATCAGGTTTTTAGTGAAACTAATAGAAAGTTCCTTTACCTCCAGACATATCAATTTTAAAATGAATTATCTTATTTTCTTCTTCATTCATAGCCTTCGCTGAATAAAGTCCACTTAAAGTTTGATACATGTATTTAATTTTTAGTGTGGAACCATCGGAAGATATTTCGTAATCACCGTCATTAAAAAGTTCTTTCGTTTTTTTAAACCACTTTATTGTTGCTGGTGGATATGATTTCACTTTGAAATTAAGAACACTCGAACTTCCATACTCAATGACCAAATCTGTAAAATATGTTTACTATTTCAAAAAACCGCTTTTAATGTTCTTAGATCAATTTGTAAAATATCTTACGAACCTTTGGGGCTTTCGAGAATGTCAAGGAAATATTTTTTTTTAGTTTCCACTAAAATAGTTTTTTTATCTTCACCGATTTCATTTTTCGCTGTACAATATAAAGTTATATTTTTATTCATTTTATGTATATCAAGAATACTCATATATTCATATGGAAGATCCGCGGGGACTACCTGTAAAACGTACATACAAAATAAAGTTGTTATTCTACAGATACAAAGCAGAAATAATGTTTTTGTGATAATTACTTTTGATGGCCAAATCCTTCCTGAGTCATCTTTCCAAACAATGTTTGATTTAGGGAAACCGTGCACTTTGCATTTCAGGGATAAATTTGAATCGTAATCAACAGTTGTAGAACCTCCTTCTAAAATTATGACCACCGGTGCTGTTCGGTTTGGTCCTTCTACAAAATAATAAAATTTATATTGTATACAAAAAACAATATTGTTGAAATATACATATATATTTCATTACTTGTATACCTAAATCAGGTTTTTAGTGAAACTAATAGAAAGTTCCTTTACCTCCAGACATATCAATTTTAAAATGAATTATCTTATTTTCTTCTTCATTCATAGCCTTCGCTGAATAAAGTCCACTTAAAGTTTGAAACATGTATTTAATTTTTAGAGTGGAACCATCGGAAGATATTTCGTAATCACCGTCATTAAAAAGTTCTTTCGTTTCTTTAAACCACTTTATTGTTGCTGGTGGATATGATTTCACTTTGAAATTAAGAACACTCGAACTTCCATACTCAATGACCAAATCTGTAAAATATGTTTGCTATTTCAAAAAACCGCTTTTAATGTTCTTAGATCAATTTGTAAAATATCTTACGAACCTTCGGGGCTTTCGAGAATGTCAAGGAAATATTTTTTTTTAGTTTCCACTAAAATAGTTTTTTTATCTTCACCGATTTCATTTTTCGCTATACAATATAAAGTTATATTTTTATTTATTTTATCTATATCAAGAATACTCATATATATATATGGAAGATCCACGGGGACTACCTGTAAAATTTAATTCCAAAATATAGATTTTGTTATAGTAGTCGAAATAATGTTTGTGTGATTATTACTTTTGATGGCCAAATCGTTAATGAGTCATCTATCCAAACAATGTGTGATTTAGGGAAACCGTGCACTTTGCATTTCAGGGATAAATTTGAATCGTAATCAACAGTTGTAGAACCTCCTTCTAAAATTATGACCATCGGTGGTGTTCGGTTTGGTCCTTCTACAAAATAAAAAAGAAATAAAATTTATATTGTATACATAAAACAAAAGTGGTAAAATATACATACATATTTATTTCATTTCTTGTATACCTAAATCAGGTTTTTGATGTTCAATAGCCGTTGGTGCCATTCTAGTTATTTTCTCTTTAGTGTTTGTGTGACCATTTATCTAAAAAAATATGTTTTTTGCAACAATTCAGTCTTATTCATTATAAAAATATATATTTACTTACTGCGATTTTGAAGGTAGAATGAGGTGTTAGAATTGGTTTTGTTACGTAGAACTGATTGTGTTTGTTTAGCAGTTGTAATGGATAAGCACTTAAGATATCATCATCAATGTCTCTAATTTCTACTGTGTCTAATATAACATCTTTGTCAACATTGTCCAATTCTATAGCTAAATAAGATGGTGTATCTGTAAGAATGGATTAAGTATTATTTCATTTCTTAATTTGTTTGCGTTCAAGTTTATTGTAAAAGATGATTTTTATTTTATATTTAACCGCTAATAATGTTGAAGAGGAGATATATTACATTTTTTTTACTGTAACATACCTTTGATAGGTTTAGTAGACGTTTCGTTCAATGTGCTAGGCATGACAGTAGAAAAACCATGTTGAAAAGAAACAGATGTGGACCCAGTTATAACCACTGAGGTTTGGCCAAAATCATCCAGAACCATCTTGTATATCCCTGGTTTAACATCCAATTTTAATATCTGAAAGGGAATAATTTGATACTTTGAAATTAATTGAATACAATTCTATGATCTAATAAAAGATTAAAGTCGTAGTAGCCTAGAGGTTAACGGCATGCCTCTCATGCATGATGGCGCGGGCTCGAAACCTGGCAAGTGACCAATATTATCTTTTGAGTTATATGTGCTTTCTATGAGTATTTATACAGCACTGACAGACTGTGAAGGAAAACATCATGAAGAAACCTGAACTTATAATTTCAAATTATAAGTTTGAGATCGCCAACTCGTCTTGTGAAAGCTTATGATTATTATTAATGTTCAAACCCTATCCATTTGAAAAGAGGCCTTTGCTCAGCAGTGAGTTCTGATACGCTGATGATGATGATGAATAAAGTATTTTGCTTACACTGGATTTCTCTGTACTGATGAAATCTTTAACATCTACTAATTTCCCATCAGGACCAGTAAAGTAAAATGTTGCTAATTCAGATGATACAGAAATCATTATATCCCATAGCTTGCTGTCTATAGAAAACTAAAATTAAAATAATTGTAGATTAATTATTCAATATAAATATATAAATATCATTCTTCCTCCTTAAGAACTGCTTACTTTAAAACTATTAATCTTACGGTCAAGAAACCGTTTTTGGGCCACGGTTGTTTTTTTACTTTTTACCGTTGCTTTGATATAGTCCATTACCTGTAAATTTAATAAACACTCATACAAGTATTCAAAAAAAAAATTAACAACTTCCTTCAAAAAACTATCGATTGGACATACTTATTTCGAGCAAGAAAAATACTAAGTGAAAAATTATAACTTTAAAAATATTTATTCTGATTGTAAAGGTCGTAAAATATATACATATGTATATGTCGTTTTTCCGTTTTAAAGTCTGTGTGTGCAGTTATAATTGAAAAAGCAATATTGAAGTACAAACAAACTATAATGGCACAAAAATACTTGTACCGCCAAGTTACATTATGTAGTTTTTAAGGTGAAATGTGTTAAGACATTTAATTAAGAAAGTGTATAAATATGAGCTCGAAAATGAATTAATAACCAATATAAAAAAGAATCAGACAAACTTACTTTGCTCACATCCTCTTTATCTATGTGGAAAACCTGTCCTGAAGTAGTTTCAGCTAAATTATCATAAACAGTAGATGCCTCTTTTGGAATGTCATCACATTCTCCGGTCAGTAAAAAGGTTACCTGAAAATAGTATACACAATATCTTATTCTTTATCAAGTTAAAGACTCTAAGATATCGGATATTACATGTTTTTTTAATACTACATAATCAAGAAATTACGGTTCTTTAGAGCAACCGTGATCACAGGCGGACGAGATGAAGTTAAAATCTTAAGTTTTACGTTCTTTATACGCAGTTGTCATATATAAGATTGATATTATTCCATGATAGAATAACAAAGAAAAACAGAAAACATATCAACTATTAAATATGGTAGCGCATTTGTAATTTAAAAGACTAAATTGATTATTCTTACCATAGATAGTTAGCGTAGGTAGATAGGTAGTTGTAGCGATTTTGCGAAGCGAATGTCTCTTCATTTTGACGCCCTCTACATCCCACTTCTGATATAGGAATTTGGCTTTTATCACAATTATTTCCTTGTTCCATAGTGGCGTAGGTTAATAGGCGAGGAGAAAATAATTCACACTTGACGTATAGGTTATCGACGTCAAAATTCAAATTATTAATTAACGCACCCTACAAGTAACCAAGCTCAATAACCAAGGTTCAAATACAAAGTTCGTGCTCAATATTAATTGTAATCACACAACGTTCCGCGGACAACGTGGCGTATGCGCCTCCTCCGACCGGACTTATTCTCCGATTCAAGCACGTTACAGCCTGTCCCCCGAGTTATGTCAAGCGGACTGTCACTTGAAGGCTTCTGTCCTATCGTCAGTGACATTCGCTTCGCTCAATCGCTACAACTACCCTCAATCTATCGTAAGAATAATCAATTTAGTCTCTTAAAATAAAAATGCGCTTTCAAATAATATGAAGTAAAAACAAACAGTTGCCTCCGATATCAATCGAATGTGAATTTAATAAAAATAAAAATAATATTTACAATCCATGAAAACGATTGTTGATTTCTACAAGTTACCTTATCTTGGCAACCCTAATAAGTCGCTTTTTTATATACAAAAAAGATAAATAAAAATTGTGAAAAAATGCTATATAAATGACTTGCTTTTGCCCGCGACTTCGGCCGCGTGGAATAGCGACTTCCGGCAAATTTTTGGTACTTCCCACATAGTTCCCGTTCTTGCGGGATTTTCGGAATGGTCGAGTTCCCGCCGAATTTTCAGGATAAAACCTATGCTTTTTTTTTCGAGTTCCAAACTATGTATATCTGTACAATTACAATTTTTAAAGTAAATGTAATTATTTTAAAGAACTTCTGCATATACTACATTTTTTGTTTTATTGTCTTGTGGCAGAAGAACATATTGATTTTCGCCACAGCCCGATCTTGAGAAAGCAATCGATTGCCGTTGCCGGTTTGCCAAAGTTCGGAAATTTTGTGAGGCTAAACGCTGCGAACGTTCAACGCTTGAGTCCCTTGTACGGTTTTGTTCAGTAATTGCTCGTTGAGTAGCCAACCTGTGCATATTTTCATCCTCAGTTTCATTGCTGCGCAAAACTCGCAGCTGCTTTGCGGTAGCAGTCTGCCGAGAAAGCTGAGTTCTTTTTCTCGGGCATTATAGTGATGAATAAAAAACGTAGAAAATGAAAACTTAAGTAAAGCGTATCTCGTAATAAAAAAAAAAGAAACGTAAGATTAAGAAGATTAATAATTAGGAACCTAATTACTTTTATTTTTAACGATTATGTCAAAAGAACAACCGTAAAATGAAAATAAGGTAAACTAATTTTATGCTTAAACTTAACCCTAATCTAATGAGAATAAATAGGTAGACCACACTTATTTACAGGTTTTATCTAAAGCAAAAAAAAAATTGAAACTAAATACGTTAAACTAAACCCTAATCTAATAAGAATAATCAAGTAGGCGACACCTATTTAGGTACCTACAGGTATTATGTACCACAAAAAAAAATATATTAGAAACTAAATACTATTTTAAAACAAACAATACTATACTTACAGAAAACACATACTTATAAATTAATAATAATCTACATGAAAACAAAAAAAGTGTTATTATGATGTAACTAAATACTATCCTAAAACAAATAAAGTACCTACTATATAGAAAACAACTACAAAATGAAACTGTGTATAAAAAGTAATATTACGATGATAATTATATCGCATAAACAAATTAGCGCTGCATTCAACCGGCTTGCCCGCAAGCACCGTCTCTCTCCCGTCGCGCCGGCCAGCGCAGAGAGCGAGTTGGTTTTGTTTCGGAGTTATTTATCATTGTAATCTTTAAAGTTTTTTGTTGAAATTAAGTTATGTCAAAGACAATTTTATTCACAATGAAGTACTCTTAACCAACAACATATTTATTTGTTTATTTGAATAAAGATTAATATTATTATGTTGATACAACTTAAAATATTTCGACCAAATTAGGTACCATAAAAACGGTTTTTGGGAGTTAATCTTAAAAGATAGACATATACTGTCAAGGACTGTTTTTTAGATCATTAAAAGAGCTATGATTTTTTTAATACATATTTTTTTATGTATCTTGAACCGTTTTCACGGCGCACGCAACGGAAGGCTTCAAAGATCAAATAATTTCTGCCGTTTTTTACACATTTCTCACTATATCTTTGCTCCTATTAGTCGTAGCGAGATGTTATATAGCCTGCAGCCTTCCTCGATAACTGGACTATCTAACACAAAAAGAATTATTCAATTCGAACCGGTAGTTTCGGAGATTAGCGCTTTCAAACAAACAAACAAACAAACAAACAAACTCTTCAGCTTTATAATATTAGTATAGAAAATAAAACCTGAATAGACTTCTTGAGCCCTAAGCTCTTTATTTTTTCGTACTCCTTATAATCCTTTGCAGCTGCGTCCGTGAAAACATAAAACAATGAATTAGGTTTACTATGTTCTAAAGCAAGTTGGATTCCTTTCATTGAGTACTCAGGACAATCTCCTCCGCCGTCTACAGTTATATCAGAAAGTGCCTTTTTGAATTCTTTACGATCTCGTGTTGCTTTGTAGACTTTTGCATCTGAAAAACGTAATATTCTTATTAATTTGCTAGTCAAACAATGAGTCTAAACATTTATTTATCTACATATATGTCATGTCAATTAGATTTATTTATTCAAGGGAATCCCAATGAATAAATAAATGTTAGATAAGAATATCACATACATATAAACATGTATGTTAGAACATACCAATAGGTTTTTATTATAATTAAATTGAGGTAGAATACATGACTGGTATATTTGCTTAATTATTAAAACTTCACGCCTTGTCGTGAATTTAATATTTTATATATATTTCATCCAGTAGAGCTATGAGCTATGATAGGCGTTATATAAATATACACAAATATATATTGAATCTAAGATTTTAAATGAAACTAAGTTTTAGTTTTTTTTAATGTGTCTCACACAATAATTTCGTTTGCAAGTGATCATGGTTACTGTAAAAGAACCGAAACGCCTTAATTATGTGGATATAAAATAATAAAATGACGCATAGTATCCGAAAAACTTAGTTTCACAAACATATTAAATAAAGAAACATCTTACATTTCGTTTTATCGTAATATCAACTCGCGCAATCGAAAGGTCAAATGGCTTTTTAAACACTCATTCATATTTCTAAAGTAAATACTATAAATTTTGTTGAAATTAAATAAATAAAATAGTAATTCATTGCATTAATTTTAATTATACAGGGTGACTGGTGAATTACTATCGATACTTGAGGACGTGATATTTGACGATCATATATGACAAAATAAAAATTAATATAACATAAATATTAATAAACTTCTAAGTAAAGTTAACCAAAAGTTATGTAATTAATTACGCATCGTGTAAACACCCTACAGATTAGGTATACACACACACTCACACATACGCGCGCGGCGGCGTGGTTTTGTATCAGCACGCCGCCGCACGCATCCACACTTGGAACACTTGGAACGTGTCAACACTTTATTTATTTATACGGAAATATTGTCAAAAATTAAGTGCCTATTTTTTTTACATAATTCGAATGACAATCATGTACCGAGTATTCTTTTTAAATATTGATAGTAATTCACCAGTCACCCTGTATATTCAACTAACCTGGATCATTAAAGGTGACAAGCAGGAATTCATCTATTTTTGATGCGTTCGAATTGAGTACTGCATCGAACACTTCGTCTATCTTCGCTTTTATTTGATCTATATCATTCCACATAGAACCTGTATCATCTACCACAAACGTAAGGCTGCTTTTAGTATTATGCCCGTTTGTAAAACCGTATAAAACTACTAATATAAATAATAACAACATCGCTGAACAGTTGTGCGTCTTACATTCCAAATGAAACTGAGATTGTAATTGCACATCTATAAATACATTGACCATGTAATAATAATAAATTTGATGTTTATTTATTTACATATCATTGTGGGAATATCCCTGGATATTCCTTCATTAATAATATGAGATAATTCTAATCATTACTGAGACGGAGAACCCAATGTGAGTTGTTGACATTTTTGTTAAGATATAAGGTTCATTAGAGGGTTAGGGTGGATGCGCGCCTTTCATATTCCGAAGTGAGTCAGGACGTCTGACAGCCGTTGCGTTGCGGTGCGCTATGTAGCAGTCCCCGCTAGGTCAGGTATGTGTAGAGCACATTCCCCCTGGTAAAAAAAAAAATAAAAATAAAATAAAATAAGGTTCACCGGTTTTTCTGCTTCTCATTTTTTTGTTTTGTTTGTACGTATTACGTAAGCGCAACATTAAAAATTAAATGAACATCACCGGAGGTAACATTACTGAATATCATATTTCGAGTGACGCCGCTGACTCCGCGAAACGAACACCAAACCGTGTGAACCAGAATATACCTGGTACCATACAAGCTGTGGAATGGGATTGCTATCCTAACAACGGGACAACAATGTAGTCTTACGTATAGGTTATAAGTTTTAATATGTATTTCTTATTATAATATACATACATTTAAGTAAGTTTCGGAGTTTTTCTGGAATCTCCGGTTGCCTCTCTACGTAATTCGTGGAACATTCAGTTCTTTATTTTTATACACTTTTTAACATAACATTAGTTTTTATGTGTAAATTAAAACAATGAGGTAATTGTTAACTACAGTATTACTGCTCCTGGCACTATTTTGTGTGTTTTTTCTTTGACTAAACTATGGTTTGTCCTAAATCCTAATGCAACTTTTACTATTTGCTGTAGTTGAAGAGCCCATAACATAGAAAATTATTATTTTATTTGTATTAAAGAGAATTTTAAAGAAGGCTTCAAAACTGAAACTGAAAGCTTCAAAATAATATAATGTGTTTTTCATACAAGATTCTTTGAATTTGATAACAATGTTTATTTATTTGTTAACTAAAATTCACTAAAAAATTTACTTAAAATAAAATACTTTTACTTGTAGCAGGGGAGCTCAAGCGGGGATTTCGGGATTTACCTAAACGGGGCAGGGGGATAACTTGTACCCGGTTAAGTACCTCCACCAAACATGAGCTCCATATTCAAGGCCGCCCGTGAAGGAGGCAGGATCAGATTAGTAAAAAACAATTACCATCAGACATTCTCAGGCTCGTGAGATTAATGTAGGTTGAGCTAATTACATCCTAAAAAGTGTATTTTTCCTAATCTGACAATTTGAGCGTGACGTTAAGGAAGGGGAGGGCAGCGAAGTTGTAAAAAAAAACTTCCTCTCGATATTCTTGAGTATAGCACGTTTTTTTTATTTTGAAGAAAATAATTAAAGAATAGCGATTAAAATATAAAAACTCACGATGCGTGCAGCTGGGTAATGCCTACATTTCATTATTCGCGTCGAATGATGAGTATTTTGATTAATTAGTAAATTAATTATAAAATATAATTTTTTAAAAGCTGTTTTAAAAATGTATGTTCACATTCTTTCCCTATTATACAATATCCTATTTAATCCTACCTCTCCCTCATACCTTAAAAAGCGCTTTGAATTCCTGAGTGATTCTCATTGTCGCTCTCTTCGGTCTGATGATAACTTGATTTTAAAAATCCCCTCCCACAATACATCCTTCTATTCTAAATCCTTTTCTGTGGAAGCTGTACGGCTCTGGAATTCCTTACCACTTACCATACGGCGTGCTCAATCCCTACCAATATTCAAACGGCTATTAAAATCAAACTTCTTCCCCCCTTAAATTTTGTCTACCTGTTTCCTTAATATTTATGATTTTTATTTTTCTATTTATTCTAAACTCCTACTCTGCGATGTATCTTGCTTATATTTAAAATTTATTATAAATATATATATATAAATTATACATATATAGATTATTGTATATTGATTGTAGTATATATATGTTTTACTATATACATATATGTGTATAATTTCGTATATTTAAAGTATATTTTTCTCTCTTATACATATGTACACCTCAAATGATTTTTTTTTTATTCTGTTTACTGTGTCCTACGTAACATGGTTGCTTGGCAGAGATCGCTGCTTAGCGATAAGGCCGCCAATTGTACATTTTGATCAAGTTTTGTACTGTATGATTTATTTATTCTTTGGTGTACAATAAAGAATACTTATTATTATTATTATTATTATGTTTAAAATACATGTATTCTATTAAAAAACCATGCTGTTTTCTGAGCTTTTTCATTAATCAAGTGCAATGATTTAAAAGAATAACTTTTTTTTATCAGACTAGGCTAATCCCTCTAGATAACAATCATATTATTAGACAGTTCGTTGAGAATATAAAGTTTAACCATATTATATATCCTTTAATCTGACGTGCTTGAGTATTTCAAAATGGTGAATTTTTTTGCTCATTATGAAAATGGCCGTGAGTTTGCGTGACACCAGAATCGTCGTTAGTAAATTGACGCTTTTTTTGCATGTTACATTTATTTAACATTTTAAAAATCTATAGCCGCTTCCCCCATCTATAAAAAGGTATATACATATATCATATAAGATTTTTTTCTGCTTATCATCTAAGCTTTACAACCCAACAGGTCTCTACGACGCTTGAGTAAGTCCCTATTTAGCATCGTGAGCTCCCCTTTTATTATACGAGTATTTACACGTTTTATTGTGACCTTAGTTGATGTTCGTTCAAAATATAAATCAAGTCAATATATTAGGTAGGTATGTTATTATATTTTATGGTTTTCCAGTCGCGATTTAATGGAAATAAGTCTTGAGCACTCTTTGTAAATAGAAACTAGGAGTAAGTTCCAATGTTGCGCACCTTAAACAGAGTTTAATTAAAAACAACTTTAGTCGGAGGATAAAAAAAACTTTATCAACAGGATTTTGTGCAATACTAGAGCATTTACAAAGGATTTTAGGGAAAAAGAATTCAAACCCTCAAGTAGGTTCAGCGAAGCAGAATGTATTGTACATTGGCATTAGAATTTGGTGAATTTGGTGAGAAGACAAAAGATTCTTAACTTTAATTGATGAATATTTATATCTGATTGCTATTCTAAACACTAAAAAACAAAATCAAACACAATAGAAATTATAGTTACTTAAAATATAATACGAGTAATTCCTTGTCAAATAAACAAAACGACAACTACCAAAGAGTGCTCTAATAAGATTGCAACTTAGTATCAGTACCAACCAGATAAACAATGTATTCTTTATTTACTGTAATTACAAAGTAACCGTTTCCTCTCGACCCTTAGTCACACGAGGAAATATACTTCAGTTCTAAAAAGTATGTGTAACATTCTCGTGACAATCAGAATTAAATTTTAAATGTAAAGCATTAAGATGACTTTTCATTTGAATGTTTCGACGTTGTTATTACTAAAGACTTTATACCTTCATACTGTGCATAATGCCCCTGTATCAGCAGACATCGACTTAGGCCACAATGTTATCGATTTCCATATAATTTGTATTCAATTCTATGTTAAGGAGTAGCCAGTTAACAAATATATAACTTTCAATAATAGTTCCTAAAAATAATTATATACAAAATAAATGAATCATTCCTTATCAATTATGGAAATAAAATATGTATATAATATGTCTTTATATGTACCAAATTTAATGACTACGTTGAGGTTAAGGGATCAATTTAACCAACCGTATGATAATATCTTTATAGTTACAATTTAAAAATAAATAACTAAAATATTACAAAATATTTTATTTACTAATTAAATATTATCATGTGGGAATTTGCACAACAGTTTTTGATAAAACATGATGTTTTCATTTTTCTCTCTGAGTTGTTGTTATTTTTAAATAGATCTTACTAATCCTACTAATACATATTATAATTGCGAAAGTTTGTGAGTATGTGTGTATGTTTGTTACCTTTTCACGCTCAAACGGCTGAACCGATTTTTATAAAGTTTTGTATACAGGAAGCTGACGTCTAGGAATACCACATAGGCTACTTTATATCCCGGAAAATGTTCGACTTTTCCTCATATAAGCGAAAAACCATATTTACTTACTCGAGAACTCAACTCCTAGCCAAAACGACATTATCGCTATGTACCTTTTACCGGTCTATGTAGGCACGATCGACAGCCAATAAGCATTCCTTTCATTGAAAAAAAAACAGTTATGATAGACAATATCTATAGACAACAGTTTATTTCTGTAGTTAATTTGTTAAATACTGCCAAACTATTCATGTTAACGTAACTCTTAATTTTTATAACATTTCTGTTGTTTTGTAGTTGTTTGGTATTGCCCCATTTGTGGGCTTTCTTTTATATATTACTAATGCCCAAAATTAACGCGGACGAAGTCGCGGGCAAATCTAGTATTATATTAAAACTTAGCCTTAAACAAATTATCACTAGTGTAGTTAAATTTACAATTTAGTATTTAAATTGCCACCGAAGACCTATACGCATTATAAAATGTTTTCAATTTGTTATTTATTATTTCTGTGTGTCCCTGGAATTTTGGGAAGTAACAGTTTCACTATCGTGGTAGATACCACGCATTCAATGTTTGATGAAATCGAAATACTCAAAAATAATATTCAGTCATTGATCTTAGCGATGACAAATAGGAATTTCGATAATTATATACTTATACCATTTCTTCACTTTGGTGAGTATTTGTGTTACTGAAATTATCATTCTGTCTAACATATAAAAACATTAATAAATACATTTATATATATCATAATTTATAACTAGTTCTATAATTTTATATGTCGCAATAATTATTGTTCATTGTATAAGGCTATCTACATGTAAGGTGGACCCTGGCTAAAGCTGGGAAATTGACAGGTAGAAGAAGATTGTATAAGGCTATCTAAAATATTTGTTAAATTTAGATTCAGGTCCGCCTTTAATATCATCATCGCCTCAAGGGCTTGCTGATCTCGTGAGTGTTATTGAAGTGAGTGAAGGTTACGATTGTCAAGAAAATTCTTTAACCGCTATTCAAAAAGCACTAGAAGTCAGCAAACCAAGGTCTACCATATTCGTGTTCACTGATGCTGAAGCACAGGATCCACATAAACTCTATGATATCCAGAACTTATGCGAATATACTCAAAGCCAGGTGACATAACAATATAAACATATTAATATTTATTTGTACATTTGAAATAGGATATAGTTTTTTGTTTTGCTTATATTTATTAACATTTTAATATGATTCCAAATATACAGGTGATTATTTTTCAAAGTGGCACCTGCTTTCAACAAGAATCACAAGCACCGATAGAAAACATTTATAAAAAAATCGCTAACAGTTGCGGAGGTTCCCATTTCTTTTTCTATCTGAATAATTTGAGACAGGTGTGTACATTTTGCAAAATATATACATATATATTAACAGTTAGGGGAGAGTTGGTTATATCGTACTAGCATTTAAATCGTACCACTTCTAAATTTCCCATTTAATGAATATTTTTTTCTACACTGACAACGCCAAATCGTGGCCCTGCACCATCCCTCTTCACCCACTAGTTTAAATCGACGTGAGTTAACAACTGTGCAAGTAATAAAAGAAAAACATTTTTTGTAGGAGTTAATATAAATATTGTCGTACATTCGTAAGGAAATAACTCGTAATCAAGGTAAGCTATAGTTATTAATTTTTCTTTATTATTCCACAATCGTATACTAGATTATTGGCGGTTTTTGTTGCGTGTCTAAGTTTTGAGTTTATGCCGGATATTTGCTTTTGTTTTAGAAATGCCTTAGTTGGTTTAATCGTACCACTTGCAGTTGGTTAAATTGTACTGGTACGATTTACCCGACTACCAACCGCAAGTACCTATAGTACTACCGCAAGTACGTATAGTAAGTACTACCCAAGGCCAAAAACAAAAGTTATAAGAGGAAACGATCTCATTCCATCACCAGTATCGATGATTCAGGAGAGACACCTGTTGTAGAATTAGATGATGATGATTACAGCGATGATTATCTTGAAAATATATGTCGAAAGTGCAATTGATCTTACTACAATAAGAAGGGTCCAAAAGTTAATTGGATTCTGAAACGACTGTAAACGGTGGCTACATGAGACGTGTACTTCGAATCCAGACATTTGTCATGATTGTTTCCATTAAGAAATATGCACAATTATTATATTACAAATAACATTCTTGTTAACTGTTACTTTATTATTATTGTTTACTGATTTTTTTTTTGTCTCATTTTTATTAGTTATGTTGATTGATCTCATTATCATAGTATAATCATGTTATTTTACTGAGAAAGCTTATAGTTCCTAATTATATAACCTAAGAGTTAAAAATTATGTTTCTTTTACCTAAAAGATATAAATAATGTTGTTTTACTAGTTACCTAACAGTTAAAAAAAAATTTAATTGAGAATTTTAATGTCTTTCATTCAGTGGTACGACTTAAACACCCATGGTACGATTTAAAGACTTAGTGGTACGATTAAAACGACTAGTCGGCTAAATCGTACCGATGGCAAGCCTCTATAAAAAAGCATTTTTAACAATGTTATAATAATCGCACGGATTTGTTCTCTTCTTCTTAGGAAGCCAAAATATGAAACTTTATTTTACATATGTATTAATTATTATAAGACGTGTTATAGTCGAAATATTTGAGTTAAAGTGAAAAGTGGTACGATATATCCGACTCTCCCCTAATACTAATTATTATTTATTATTTGTAAATTGACAGTTAAAGAGAGTCGATTAATTCTATCCATGAGCATGTATTTTGCACGTAACTTAGTCTTTCGTGGCATTTAAAAAAAATATTGTAGTTGAATCTTTCGGCTAGTTTTTTTAACTTTTAATACAAAATTTCAGTCATTTAAGTACATGCAAGAAATTACCAAAGTCGATTGGAGTGAAGTTAAAAATTACGAATTCTACGGAAGCAAACTCTATCCAGTGAGTAATTATAATAAAAACCATCTTATTTAGACATCAATGTTTTTATTTTTGATAAACGAGTTTATTATACGATGTATATCAAATTAGACTAAATATGTTTCAACAAATTTCAACTTGAGTAATCCAGGCTGGGCCAATTAAGTTCGTTATTTAATACTTAACCAGCTAGTACATTTTAATTAAATTTTCTATCTTTCTATTTAAGTTTTCAGTAGATTCTTATACAAAGGATCTGCTTATTGCCATATCGGGAAACTATCCAAAGATAGTCGTAAGGAATAACTTTGGAGAATCCATCCAGATTAATGAGATAATAGAAACGACCAAGATGAAAGTGAGTATTTTTGATTTTTATTTTACAAAGAGAAGTATTGTTTAAATGTCTATGACGTACATACATTAGGTTTACAGATTTTGTAATACCATCTTGAAAAAATCTTTCAAGAAGACTTATTTTTCCGTATAAGATGTTAATACATAATGAACTATATCTATTTATATTCACGAACGATTTTAAAGTCTTAGTTTAGGAACACGGAAACAGTAATTTGAATTATATTGAATCTTCCTTAAAAATTAGGTTTGTGATACCGTTTCCCATAATTCCTTTTCATGTTTTTTATGTCTTTCGCATTGTACTATATTATAATTAGTTCATTCTATCCAGTCAACTATAGAATAATCTAAGTTATGTTAAAATTCAAACATAGGTGAGGATTCTGAAATACTCCACAGTAGTTAATAGGCCTTGTCATTGATAAATGACCATAATATTAGCTGCCGGCATAGTTATCACCAAAACAAAGTAATGCCGCCGATGATTTTGTTTGGATTCAATATTTTGTCTGAGGATGGATGGATAAATGTATGGATGAAAGTTACCTTGTGATGTGAAAAGTCAGCGGTGGCCTAGTGGTTACAAGACCCGCCTCTCATGCATGAGGGCCTGGGTTCGATCCTGGCAATTACCAATGTAATTTATGCGAGTCGTTTGTACTTTCCAAGAGTATTTAGACATCACTAATTAATGCATTCCCAAAGAGGTTTGATGTCAGGCAGGCGGCCGGTCGTAAAAACAATTAACCAAAACTATTCACAACATGTAAGGCAGACCCTAGCTAAAGCTGGGAAATTGCCAGGTAAAAGAAGATGAAAAGTTGCCTTGAGATGAGAGACGAGTACAGTACACAAAGATTTCCGTTGTGTTGGTTGTTCGCTTATGGAAGGTAGCAGTATCCGAAGACTGGTGATTTACTAGCTTCCTACAGTCAGTAACTCAATTATTGGGATATTTACCTTTGTTTATCTACTCCACTAACTGTGCATAGGGTGCCTCCATTGAGGAGTTTGACAACCAAACGAGAAATGTATTGATAAAGAGTTTTTAATAAAACGATTGTCTTACGTTTTGAGTGTATTTGAGGCTAGGGTAGATAAGCTGTTACTGAGATAGTGTATTCACGGCCTAAACTTGTTTCAACCAACCTATAAGCGAATGTTAATGAAGCACTATGCAGTAATTAGTAAAAAAATGTGTTTTTTTTTACTTTATACTATATCCCATATCTGTAAAGACTTAACTGCACTAAAAATCTCTAGTAATTCGATATTTAAGCTTCATTTACAACCAGGATTTATACCGATGACCCCGCAATGTTGTTATATTTTTGTTAGACACGTAAATAAAGACAGGAAATTATCTTATAATTCCTCGATATAGCTTTAATATTAAATATATTATCATTATTATATTTAAAGTAAAATGAAATCAATTTTAATTCCTAAGAATATGTGTGTACAGAAAAAAGTTTGCGTATTGAAAGATTATTATGTATTTTGTTAAATTTTAAGGTCATTCGCGTCGGTGAAGCATTGTTTGGTGAATATATAGCCGATATAAGCTGTCAGGGCGCGACTATGTTTACTTTTTACAGAAAGAAAGAAGTTAAATTCAGATATGGATTTTCTCCATTACAACCAAAAAGCCTCCGAGAAACTACTCGTTTACCAATTCCAGGTAAGATGTAAATAAGAATATTTATCATATTTTACTATATACTTAAGAACTTATAAAATATATAACGAAATGTTAATTTTGTAGGTGTTATAAATTATTTACTTATATCTCTGCCGGAAAACAACTTAGATTTAGTTTCAATACAATTAAAAATGACAGATGAATACAATCATAGAAATATTGATCATCGAGTAATTGATGAGAGTAGAAAATTGTATGCAGCAACCATATTAATTGAACCCATGAAGACCTTTAGAGTTTTGGTAATAAACTTTGATTACTTTGCTATTGAGTTTACATAATTCAAGAATCATATATAATAATTTTACAAGTTTAAATTTTTATATTTATTTCCTTTGTAAATAATCATGATTCTAGGTGAAGTGTAGGGACATTAATAACCAAGAAATAAGCGGAACAAGTGAACAAACGCAACCACAACGACTGGGTATTTGTATTTATTTTATGGTTATGTACGTTTATAAGAAATATAGTTAATGTAGCCGTTTGTTTTCAGTATTGAATTCGCAGTCGATTGCACCAGAAGCAAAAATTCTAGAAGTTGATCCCTTAATCGATTTCGGTTCAAGTTACTCTCTAGCCTGTAAAGTGAATAGTTATCCAAAACCTGACATATGGTGGGAGGATAGTAGGGGGGAAAAGCTACTGTCCGAGGTATTACTAAGCATATTTAATTAAATAAAAATTACAGCAATAATCCCCACTAACTATTTATCAATATTTTCCAGAGCGCATTGCTAGAAATACCACATGTTTACATAAGTTACTTAAAAATTGAAAATGCGTCTAAAAATGATACTATTACTTGCAAATGTAAAAATACAGAAGGAGAAGATGCAGTTTCTGCTAACATATATGTCAATAGAACCTTCACATTTGATGTAATACAGACCCCATCAGGTAATAGGATGAATGAAAAGTAATAAGAAATGAATAGTATATAATAATTTTGGGTTTGATTTTAGATATAACCGTCGAATATGGTACAGAAGGAAAACTTTTTTGCGAAGCAAACACCTATCCCGAATCAGAAGTAAAATGGTATCTCAATGATACTCTTATAGAAGACTTAGAGGAAATTGATATATTAGAAGATGAGCACATGTTGCTGATTAAAAATATGAACCTTAATTATACAGGAACCTACAGTTGCGAAATATCTAATAGTGAAGAAACAAGGACATTTTCGGCAAACGTTTACATCTCAGGTCTTGGTAATAAATGTGTTTCTATTCCCTTAGTTTCATGAGAGCATTAAAATTATCCCTTTCCTAATTTAGAAATGTCTTTTTAGAAACTCCACAAATTGATTTGGGACACTCAGAGATTGTATTGAAACCGGGTGAAGAAACTGAACAAGAGTGCACGTAAGTTGAAATAATTGAAGACTTTAAAAATCATGGTAATACCAATATATAATTTTTTCAGCATTATAAAAGGAAAACCGTTCCCTGAGATATCGTGGAAATATAAATCTAGTTATGACAATATTGACTTAAGTAATGTACCCGATGGTGTGGAAATTCATGGAGCCGCCTTAAAAATTGATTCTGCTGATTTATATCATAGCGGTTTTTATGTTTGCGAAGCTATTAATATTTTAGGGACGGACACTCAACAGATTGCTGTTAAAATACAATGTGAGATAGAACGTTTTGTCACACTTAATGTCTTTGATAAGTTTATTAATCTTGTCATTTAAATATATGTTCTATTAGATCCTCCTAAGATTAGAAATGGAGATGAGGAAAAGATTGTTAGATACGGAGAGATTGTAGAACTGACTTGTGAAGTTGACGCTGTTCCTACTGCATCGGTTCGTTGGGATATGGAACAGGATGATATTACTATACCCTTCGATGCCCGCCATAGCACAAACGATAGAAACACACATCGGTGAGCTTTTTTATTACCTGGTTACTTTTACTTTTACCATTACTTTGTTTCAGCCAAATAAAATTGTTAAAACTGGATTGGAATTCAACGTCCTCAATTATCAATATATATTGTAATCATTATTATTTTAATTATCTTATCCTTAGCTTCCGATATATGCTTTTACTTTTTGGTAACAAAAAACAATAGATGAAAGCAGGCCAACCAAATTAAATACGAGTATGTTTATTTAATTATAAAGAAGTAAAATAACATTCTTGTATTCATAATTCACATTACTGTATGTTATAAAGACCAAATTAAATGGACAACAGTATGACAGCGATGAGGAAGTTGAACTGAGTTTATTAAAAAGAAATACTAAGGGATTATGTGTTTACTCAATTTTAAATAGCGAGAAAATGTATCTTGTTGCAGGTTCACAGCTAACGCGAAAGATTCTGGGTTGTACATCTGTACGGCGCAGAATGACTTAGGTACTGCTACTAGGAGAGTAAAGGTTAATGTGCTTGGTGAGTTGTTCGAATTTCTTCTAAAAGCATATACAATTTTTTTAAAATAATAATTATAAAAGTACAATCAGACAATTTGTCCAGAACTAAAAGCTTTCTAATTTGTGAATGAAAATCATAGACAAAAGAATAACGTTCACAATTAGAGAAAATTAAGTTTCTTATTCGGTAAATGTTCAAACTTAAAAACGTTACAATTTCATTGTCTATTTTATTTAAAGAAAATTCTTTTCAGTGGCACCTTATATAGAGGCGTTGGAGTTTAATACGCTGACATCTCGAAGAGGGTCCACAGTTAATTTAAGCTGCAAAATCATTTTGGGTAACCCTTTGCCGAGTATAAAATGGGTGTACATTGCACCAAATCTCAATACTACCGAGTTGATTAGGTAATGTCTTCTTTCAGTTATAAAACAGTGACAGTAACAGAACTTGTTGAATGATCATCCCACTTTATTTAATCATAATGTCCCTTAACTTTTATTACTTATTGTCAGAAAAATAATGTAATTACCTTGAACAATTTAAACACTTATTAATGGTCTCTAATTCCTACTTTGAATTGTATATAAATAATATTTTAATTTCAGAGAACATTCAGCTGATAAATTAGACTTATTATTAGAAGACATCACAACGAAACATGAGGGTTCCTATCAGTGTATTGCCGAAAATGATGTCGCTGTAGACTCGATAAAAGTTTCACTTACAGTTATTTAATAAGATTTCACAAAGAAAACAAATATAGTTTCTTAAGTATTTTTAAAAATTATTTTAGGTAATTGTTTATAATTGTCAACATATATATTAAATAATAAAAAAAACAAACGTTTTATTTTTGTACCCAAAAGCTCGGTTGATTATATTACGTACAAACAGTAGAATTGGCTTATAATACATAGTTATATTTATGCAAAAAATTACATTGAAGTTGTTTGTAGTATGATGTCTAGGTATTCATTTAATTTATTTGTGCATATTATCTATAAATATTATCTATAAATAGGAAATATTACAAATGTATGAAAAATTATTTGTACATTATATAGTAAATATGTTTGTTTCTACTTATTAGTTCCGGGAAATTAGATATCATTATACTAAACAATATATCTGTATTTATATATAGTTCAATATCACACAGTGAAGCCCTGTAAAAGTTACAATGTAATATTAGAGCTCAATTAAAATGGATTAGGTGATTTTGAAGCCCGGTTTAAAAATTGGATCCCAGTGTCAACAAAAGTATGCATAGCATAGCTTACTAAAATTAATAGTTTGTGACAAAACGTGTGAAAAAATGTTTTAACTAGTTGCTGACTTACGCAATTTTTATTGAGTGAAGTATCGGTTTTTGATTTATATTTTATTTAGAGTAACAAATAATAAAGCACATTTTAATTATCAAATACATCTTCGAGACTGTGTAATATTTTGTTTTCTAAATTTTGTAAGACATAAAATTCTAGACGATATCTTTGCTGTCTAATTTGATAGTTGTCAGCTGTATATATGTCAATGTCAGTGTCATATTAACAAAGTACATTTATATCTAAAACTCAATATACCTTTGATTCATTGTAAAGGCAAATGGAATAAGACTTATGAAATAAATCGCAATTTAAAAATATTCGTTTCAGTATTGCTTAAAATGTGCCTGTAAATCATGTCTCGGTCAATACCACCTTATATTCTTCAGGAGCTACCAGACATTTTTGAAACAGTGAACTATCCCATACGAAATATACATCGCATAAAGGTTAGTCCCAATACGGTGTTTGGCATTCGTCCAAATATTTATATCGCATGAAATGCAACTAATTTATACTATATATATTTATAATCGTATATTCTATAAAAAGATACGTTTTGTTTAATTCATAATGAATATCTATTTAACTTTTCTAAAAATTATGGTATTTGAGTTACCTTTGGATTTTTTCGAGATGTAATACTTTGAAGAATATTAAATTGCAAATGGTATTGCTCAAGATGTTTAAAAAGAAAATTGTTTTATAATTTTGTTATACATAGATTAAATCTGCAGTATTGACTGGTATCTTAAAATTTATATACAAAAGGTTAAAACTATTTAAAAATTCTGTTTTACAGTATACATGCTTCGATGTATCTAAGTCTTTGATAGCATTTGGAGCGACAAGTGGTGGTATTTATGTGTTTAATCGATTACCCTGTGAGTTTGTTCAACTGATTCCTAGCAAGGTATGTATTAGTGCCATAAGGATTCAATGTTTTTTTTGTAGGATCTCATTATGTGTTGATTTGTCACTCTAATTACAATAATATCAATTCCAAAGTCAAAACAAAAGTCGGCAGCAATATGTACATTTATTTGTTTACTAAACCATGAGTTACATTTTATTCAGTTCCCATTTAATCAGTATTTTCCAAGAGCAATTATTATCTCTGCAATCAACATAATAACAAATAATTGTACAGTTCATTATGTGGCCTTTTGAATATATTTATAAAACTAGATAAATTACACTAAAGAAATTCCTTTAATTACCGAATTAAATATTATGAATTTGTAACTTAAAATGCTTTTCCTTAGATATTATATTCTTTCAATGGTAGTGGTTCAAATATATAGTTATTTTGCTTTTGATTCATTACAAATTTTATATTAAAATGAAATTAATATTTTTATCAAATACTATGCGACTTTATTTTTGTAAAAAACTACATACCCCCGATGTTTCAGTTACTTTTCAGCAACCTTGTTCATGGGCGGATGAGATGTAAAATTTTATATTTTCAATTTTCAGGATGGCCCTATCACAAGATTATCAATATCTCCGGACGAACAATACATAGGCTTCACAAATGGTAAAGGCATGGTGACTGTGACTAGATGTGATCAAAATCTCAGCGGTTATTCATCACATTTGAAACATCATGGGAATGAAGTGACATGTATGGTGTGGTCAAATAATATGTTGTTCACCGGTGATGATGTCGGCAAAGTCTGTGTGTTACAGTTGCAGAATTTCATTGTGAGTTTTACTGTTTTTTGTTACTTAATAATAATATGTCAAGTATAATGTAGGTAGATCAATTTATTATATTCTGAAAATCAGTCTTGATTAAGACAATACTTATATTATAGTTTTATTGGATACAACACAAGCTTCATTAATATTGTGGTGTATTTGTGTATGTTATTATGTCTGTATGGGTGAGATCTTGTAACTATTCTAAACCAAATGTCTCTAATCTAATTAAGTAGTTTTATATATTCCTTTCTTTTGCTTTGCCAAATTCGTTTTATGACTATGTCCTACATACACTATGTAGGAAAGTTATAGATATTTTTAATGCATTTCTTCATACCTTAATACCAAATTAAAGATCTCACTAACTTGAATATGAGTACACAATTACAAAGTTTGTTTATTTCTAAATTCATTTATAATTAACGAGTTATTCACATGTGATTTGATTAAATTTTGTGAGGGATTTGTCAGTAAAAATTAACTATAATTTCCAGTACCTATTGTGTGTATTTACCACACTTATTTTCAGTTATTATTTATTTTTTTTGTATCTTATAAGTATTCATGTTTATTTCCAGGCTAAAACCATGTTCCAGAGTTCATCACAGATTATTATGAGTTTAGATTCGAGGATATGTCAAATAGATGCCAAAGAATGTATGTTGCTAGTTTCAACACTAACACGTTGTTATATTTGTAACACTATACAGGAGCAATACAGACAGATAGGACAAAAACTTAGAGATGGCGAATACGGTGCTTGTTTCGTTACTATGGAAAAAATTGTTACTAATGGCACCTCAGAAAACAAACATGAAAATTTTATAGAAGCGAAGAAGTATAATATAGTTGATGATGATGTGGGATTTGTTGTTGGCGAAGAATTTTCCAATACAGTAATATATTGTGCTAGACCATCTTCTAGGCTATGGGAGGCGACTGTAGATGGCATGGTAAGAAGAACCCATCAATTTAAACAGGTCCTATCAAATAATCCCTCTAAAGTTATCACCAAAGAATTATATGATAGACAAATGTTTGTTCTCGATGATACCAATGATCACACAAATGGACAGTCAGTGAATTTTACGAAAATATATAACTTCAATAAAACAATATTTTCATATAGCAAAAATGCTTTATATTTTCTTAACGTGGAAAGAGTGGATGAAACTATTTGGTTTGATGAGTACAAAGATATAGTAGAATGTAGGGTTTATGGTGATATATTGTATATTTGGCGAGCAAATGGCTGTTTGGTTAGTTTGAGACTGATGGAAGTAGACAGGTTTCTTGTCAAAAGCTATTTTGACGAAAAGTATGCGCTATGCGCTGAACTATGTATGGCTTTCAAAGAATATTTGCTAACACGTAACTTATCTCCTAAAATACATAATTTGGTGGGCCTGAAGGACAAAATAGATAACGGTGTTATTAAAAGTCTTGAAGATGTTTTAGAGAAATTCAATAGTCTGAAAACTAGTGATGCAACGAAAACGAAGTCTGGAATATTTGTAGTTGATAATACATATCAAAGTTTGTTAGATGATAGAAAAACGAAAATTAGCGAGGAAAATGTTTTTGGTCCTGTCTCACCCGAAGCTATGCAGGCTTTGAAAGAATTAAGTATAACTGTATCAGACAAGTTAAATACAAGTAAAAAAATCATAAAGGAAAAATGGGGTGGTTTTGAAGAAAGGATGAAACATTTGAGTATAGAAAAACATGAAGCCAGTCCGATAAGAAACGAAAATGTAACAAAATGGGTATCACGTGATGACTATGAAGGTGAAGAAACGCCTATTGTATTAGAAAATAACATAGTGTTCAAGGAATCTAGTCCAATAGTGACAGAAAATACAATTGTAGATGAATTCGAAGTATGCAAAATGTTATACCAATATTCCAGATTGAGTGTTGTAATCGAATCATCCGATTTAAATTCAATAATAGAAAATAATACTTGCAATATGAAGGAAGTGCACGATCTTATGTTGCTGCTCCAAAAATATTGTATGTCTATCAACGCTATAGAGGAATCGAAATTTGTTCCAAACAATATATTCCTTACTTACTTGAATACTTCTAGTAATAAGTGCGATTTATTGGATGTCATAATAAATGACGAAGTGCTTTATAAATATTTTGTTGACTCATGTATAGCTGTCAATATGAAAATTCAGAAACATTTGAGTTTGGGTTGTGAATGCGGTTTTCCTTTGCCATACGTGAGGACGAGTCAAATGCCAGTATTTTCGGATTTGATAGATCAGTTTATAGAAAGACAATGGTCAAGTCAAACTAAGGAACAGTGTTATGAAGTGTGCAAACAGATGCCGTATCTTTGGAGAAAAATTTTATATCTTAGAAGGAATGAAGATTTGATAAATGTGCTGAGGATTCTCTTGCAAATGCTGGACGAGGGACTCTTACATTCATTTCTACCTCAATTCACATTGGACACCTGGGAAAGAACAATTCAACTTTATGCGACGCTATATGGAAATATTTGTTTGAATTGCAACAAAAAATTTAATCATGTGTCTGTTAAAGACATGCTTAGCTGGGATTATTTAGGTTCACTTATGATAAAGTCTATCGGTGGCAAAAGAGCTATCCAAGTTATGCAGAAATATGCAAATTTGATAGAAATGGGCGCTTTGACAATGAAGTTTTATCATACTTGTCTCTTGGTATCTTTATATGAAAAAATTGATGTCACCATAAATATAATCTTGGTGGATACAATATACAGTTCATACAAATTCAAAGAATCCAGGGTTGAGGTAAAAACTTTATATATTTCATATATTAAATATTATTTGTAGTATCTTTAAAAACTTGATCAATGAATAAAGTTCAAATATATTTTTCGGTTTCAGTAGAAGTATTGCTGAAATAAAGTTATGTTAAACTATTGATTTTGAAATTACAGATACACAAACTATTGCAAAATACGTCTGACGGTGTTATAAAAAACACAGCTTTGCCATTGACTGTTGCTGCGACATCGCCTTACTGGGGACTGAAGAAAGTATACGAAAATATATCAAACGAATCAGATTCTGTTATAAACGATATATCGATAGCTATGACAAATAATAATATAATAGATTGTGATCTCTGCGGTCTGCCATTACAGAATGAAGTATTAATACAAGATGGCGGATTATGGGTTTTTAAATGTGGCCATACTTTTCATGGCGCTTGCTTGAATTTGAATCAAATCAAACTTTGCCCATCATGTTCTATAAATTGAGCAGAGAATTAGATTTGATAGGTTTGAATTTTTCGTGATCTTTATGCCATGATGGAAATAAAAATGCGTCTGAATGTATATTATGTAAAATATTTATGATTGTATCTGGCCTATTCGTTTAAAAAACTCTAAACCTTTTTTTATTTATTACAAACGTATATGTACGTAATTTTAGGCATTATTAATATTTGAAAGTAATATGTAACCCAAGGGTATATTTTAATAAAAGTATACTAGCTGTATACATTTTTTAATGAAGTATACTTGAATTTGATAACTGTATGGCTAGATAAAAATATAAATTAAAATTATAACTTACTTTTAGTAATATGGTAACTTTTTCAGTAATATTAATGAAATAATTTCAATCGTAATAAATTAATAAATAAAACTGGTGACGTATAATGAATGTCAAGTATTTTGTAACTATATATTATATTTATAAAGTATTTTTTGTAATGACTATATTAGAAATATATGTATTGCCATTACTATGATAATAAATTGTTTACCTAGAGTTAATACATAAAGTACTATACCTTTTAATAATAACTTCTGTATGTCTAAACAGGTATTTCAATGCAATCTTGCCTATTAATTAATTTTTTTTTTGTTATTAAAAATATATTTTGTTTTTGTGCCATTTTAAATATTTTATATCAATATATATTTGTAATGTTGCCATTTTTATATGAAATTTTTAATGTTTTATTTCAATTCCTTGTTATAATTTTATCCTGTTTTTTTATTGTACAATGTAATTATAATTTTTATTTTAATATTTTTTAGCAATAGACGAAACAGTTTTATTATAAATGCACAACTTTTACTTATAGCAACTGGATGTTTTGACAAAAAAAAAATCTTTGGTTGTTTACATGGAACCAAAGTATTTTTTGGTATATTAATATACCATTATTTAATGATTTTATTATTGAATTTATGAAAAACAGGTCTGAAGAGTGACGTATATCTAGAATAATTATGTATTCTTCTCATTATGGTACTATTCTTATACATTAAATGGTCTCATTTTGACAGCTTTACTTACAGTTTTAAAATAAGTAGTTCATGTGTATGCTATTTTTCTCATTAGTATATATAATTTATAACCAGCTTATTTCTTTGTGCAATGTACTTAGAAAATATGTAAATATACGTTATATTTTTGTATTACCAATGTTGTACATTGTCATATCACTTAATCTTTCTTTTAAAAATACATGTATTAATTATAAAAAAAAAACTGTTTTAATAAAATAACCTAATATTGAAATAAAAATGTGTATGTCGAAACAGTAACGGCAGAAGCTAAAATATATTTTTATAAGTTTGTCATGTTTGTTGTGAGTAAGCATAATAATTGAATATTATTATTTATAGTCCGAGAGCTAGGTGAAATTTTGGTTAATTATTTCTTCTCCATATATGTATAATTGGTGATGCGCATCAGACAATCCCATTAATATTATAATTGGGAAAGTTTGTGAGTGTGTGTGTATGTTTGTTACTTCTTCACGATTAAACGGCTGAACCGATTTTTATAAAATTTCGTATACAGGAAGCTGACGTCCAGGAATAACACATAGGCTACTTTACATCCCGGAAATCCTCGGGTAACACCGCGGGGCGCAGCTAGTAGTATCATAAAGCCTTATGACCGTCAGCTGCGGCACAGTGGGGGCGATGAGTAGTCGTATCCTCTCAAGCTTGCAGAAAAAAAATATATTCACTCATTCTTTTCTTTCGCTTCTGGCTAACTTTTACGCAACGACATTCAAAGTATCAGCTGACAATTTTTCCACCGAGATACAGCCAGCTGACGTACATATTAATCAATAGTGACATATAAGCTAATATCAGGTAAATTTTTATTTGAGAGGATATCATTATAAGTGGAGCTTTTTTCCATTATCGAGACATCAGCTGACATACAATGCACTATGTGATAGCCAGCTGATTAGTTTTTCTGTTGAGATATTGGGTTAGTTATAACTTGTATATTGACAAATTATTAGCCAGAGGAAATGAGTGAGGGAGGATACAACAGCTCTTTCCCCCCCACCCACCGAGCCGCACCGAGCCGAGGCTCTATGATTCGATTTTCTGATGCATTTTACTAATTATCACTTGATCGGAACTTGGTCATATAAATCTGTTACTGTCTCTCGGGCTATTAGTTTAAAAGATTATTAAAAAAAATACTGAGCCTTTCAGGTTTTCACTGTCATTGGCGGAATAATTTGTGTACCAATGAAATTCTTAAAAACAAATTAATGGAGTTATGTTTCTGATTGGTGCCAAGATACCACAAAAATTTAATTTAAAAGTAGACAATTTGACATTGCCAAGATAATGGTGACAGCCCTAATGAACTGTCGCTGTCACTGTCAAGACTTATCAATGCTCTTTTAAACGTCATTAGCCCGAAATACTTATATTTTTAAATTTAAACTATAGCTCCAGTAATTCTAAATTATGCACATGATGTTTAATTTTAGTTGTTTATAAGTTTTCATAGTTTATAAATATAATTGGACTAATTTGTTCCTTTTAACAGAGTATTTCGCTCAAAGTGGTGTATAGAGCAGGCTTAATTAATTAATTTTGTAATATTTTTTTTTGTTTCGTAATGAGTTTGTCGTGACATTTCATTTTGCGTTTTCGGAGATCATCTCTAAGGCCTCGGCCTCGAATTTTGCGGGCAGCGGAGCGGCAGCGGGAGCGGCAGGATCTTACGCGTATAATCAAATGGACCGACCCTCGAATACAGCGGTGCCCGCTGCCCGCTATTTCGGAGAAATGTATGCGTTTCCGTGCCGCCGCCGCTGCCGCTCCGCTGACCGCGAAATTCGAGGCCGAGGCCTAAGTCTTGTATCAAGAGAAAATCGTCTAGCGAACTATTCTACCTATAAATTCACATTTCGTGAAATCATGTTTAAAATTGAAATCGAAAAATACTTATTTCTTCTATATAAATAAACTTTTTTAGATAGTTTATATTTGCTAAACAATCGTATGAATAGCTTTTTTCTGCATAATGCTGACACGCATTAATGAGAATTCGCTCTACAAACTACAGTCGAGTTGGTTTCAGTTGTTTAAGAAAAACTCTTCAAGTAAATATAGATAAACTAAAAAATAATTACAAGAAAGAAAGTATGCTTTTTTTCAAATTATTTGCCTTTTATACTGAAATACGATAGTTTAAATCATGTTTGTATTTTTTTCTAATTTTTGAATTTTATTAGGTACTAAAACTACCCTCACTATGAATTACAAGACAAAGACTAATATTGGACATATTTTCGAATTAAATGTAAATCTCTATATTTCATTTTTGGTCGACAGAATGATAACACTGAAATCATTTATTTTTCTTGTTGTTTATAGTTTTTTTTTCTGTTCATTTTTAAAATGAGGTAAACAAATTTATTAGAAAGCTATTAAAATTAGAGTTCATTTAGTCGCTCTTTCAGTAGGTACCAAACATTGTTCTATTATTGTAGTGCCTCCTTTATAAAAATAAAGATATTTTTTCAAAACATAATACATATTTACAAAGTAGTAGGACTAGTTCATATAATATTGAATTAAAAATAAAACGAAAAAAGTATATTTTCATAATTACTTTTTATTAAACTTTTGGGTTTTGGCACAATTTTTAAATAATGTGTCCTGCGGTTAATACCTACAAGGTATTTAAACCTATGTCTATCTACTTAATCGCTTACCGTGGAAATTATAACAAAATAATCTCAATCGATGAAAAATAATTTAGTTAAACGACAAAATATATAACAACATATAATTTTAGTAAGTACAATATAATCTAGGCTGTATTTAAAATTCGAGATAGAATGAGAAACAATAGCAGTTGATTATAAAAAAAAATAATGTAAAACAGATAATAAATAAAAATAAGAAAAAAAAATCGACCGAGATCTATGCATTTGCATATTAAGTATCGATCATGACAAAATAACGAGTAACGTTTACATCAAAATATAGTATTTACAACGGGAATCAACATAAGAATAAATAATTTAACGGCATTGTCCAAGCCCTTACACATTTACTAAGAAATACACGCTACATATTAAGACACGTACACAATAATTTATTTATACGCTTATCTCTCTACAGCTATTCACGTCGAGTACATATTACTGGCATACATTATAAAGGCGAGTGCACACTGAAATAAAAATACATACATGCCTACTTAAATCACCTAGAACACAATATATGGAAACCCTTATTTATAAGTTATTTATATTATTCATTATAGTTACTCATTTAGTATACGTCATACGAAAGTGACATAAGTGTGCACCCGCTATCAGTTCAAAAATAGAAAACAAGAAAATACAATTAGAAAAATAAATAACAAATAAAAAATGGCAATTAACGACATCGCTCCCTTAAACCTGGTTTACACTAAGATCTATACAACTTTGTTTTCTATAACTATATTATGATACTAGACAACTACACCTTAAAGTATTTCTACTAATAAATTGCACGATTTGATAAAGCGAATATTTGAGTTAAAGTATATCCCACGTGTCGGTGGTTATATTTGAAATAGAAAATTGGGAATAGACAATAGAATATAATTTTATATTAAATTGACAAACTCCAAATTGACCACCTTCGTGTCCAACACTGGTAGGTACCTATAGGTTACAATTTCAATATTCATATGAATTATCGAGTTATTACATCTGTTCTTCTATAAATTACAGATTTTCTCTAATGAGTATTATATTTTCATAACATATTATGCATCGATTTATCACTGGTTGTTCAGTAGTGTTTCAAAACACTTAAATTTTCAAGCATACCGCTTCAAATTTTTGGTTTGATACATTAAGTCCTTAAACCTAAACTACAAAAGTAAATAGTTCAACTAAGATTTATACATGGCCACACAAAATTAAACTCCGGATCCTAACACTTAAATAACTTTAAACTATATGTAAACTATTGTACTACAGATAATTAATTTTAGCCAAACATCGATACGTGCATTCATATCTACAGAGTGTTACTCAAATATTTACATTGATATCAGATGAATATAACAATTTAACTTATTATTTACATTTTTCTAATCGTCTAAAAAGACATTTTGGCACATTCCAGTACAACTATGTGCCTAAGAGAACAGTTTACAAGAATCGATCTTAATTCACTAATGGAATAATCTCAATGATAAGAACGACAGAGATCCGAGCAACACTGGCTTCAGCGACAGCCCTGAAAATGAGAAGTTCTCGAAGCTTCTGTGCGCTTCTCGAACATTCTGGAAGCTTCCAGATTACCACGGATGGTGGGAGGGATGAGGGGGGAGGGGCGCGGCGTGGGGATACGGCCAGCCGCGCGCCGAACCTCAATCCTCCTCGCCAGGGCTAAGGGGAGGAGAGAATGCTGGGTTCATGTAGTTGCCTCCATTCGGCGGAGGAGAGGAATTCGACGGCCCAGGGCTAGACAATGATGGAAGGAAGTTAAGTTCACTGCCTCCATCCCTGCACCAAAGCTGCCTCATCTCCTGCCTGCGTGTACGCATCAGGTTTTTGTACTCTGATATCCGCATCTTTTTACCGTCGACGATGCATGTTCGTTTGGGTCTTGGTCGGTACCTGAAAATATGAATGATATTAATTTCCACTGTTAGATTAGAAATATCCTATTAGAAATGTATAATTAGCGTAGGTCAGTGGCCTAGTGGTTAAAAAAGGTCCGCCTCTCATGCATGAGGGCGCGGATTCGATTCTGGCAAGTAGTAATGTGATTTTTCGGAGTCATATGTATTTTCTAAGAGTATTTAGACATCACTGATTAATGCATTCCTAAAGAGGGTTGATGTCAGGCAGGCGGCCGGTCGTAGAAACAACTAGCCAAAACTATTCACAACATGTAAGGCTGACCCTGGCTAAATCTGGGAAATTACCAGGTAGTAAAAAACTATATTGGAATATATTCTATCAGAAATATCCTAAGAATAGAAATCGGTGAAAAATATACCTATAATCAGGATGCTTTTCCATGTGAAGCTTTGAAAGTCTCGATTGTTCTTCATAGTAGGGCTGTTTCTCAGCGTTGGACATGGCCTTCCATCTTGCTCCCAAAATTTTGGATATATTAGAGTTGTGCATATCTGGGCATGCCTTTAAAATCTTACGGCGCTCATCCTTCGCCCAAACCATGAAAGCGTTCATTGGTCTTTTGATGTGAGGTTTGCCAGTCTCATCGCGTTTCGGTTGGCGAATGAGCTTAGCCTTTTCGGATTCTTCTGGCGGTGACTGATTCCAGGATGATGCTGAAAATAAAAAAGTAATCTATTAATAACGACTTTGGAAAATGACATTGAGTATTGAGATTTTTGGTCATAAAATTAGAATATTCAGAAATCTGTAACATAGTCACGGGAATTTTAAAATCACGATGGAAGTAAATCACAGATTAAACATTTAGAATATATTAACGTCTGCAGTTAAGACTTGGAATTTTTGACAATATTTACAAAATCTCTAAATCGTTACCATGTAGTTATAACTATTAGCATAATAATGGAAATTAAGTTTTACGGTTTTAAAGATACAATCTATTTCAGCGTGGCCTATTAAATACAGCATCAAATTACTAGATTTGGGTATGACAATGTTGTTGTAAATTGAACTCTCTTGCTATAGCAATAAGATCACACATATGTAAAGGTCGCAAAGAACTCAATCGGAAGCCTCACTAAGCTGTGCTATAAATTATCGGGAACAGTGAATGCCGGCTGTAAAACAATCGTTAAACAAAGATTAAGAATGGATCTATTCTGGAACAGTTGCTTTATGGAGCCGAGTGAAATATTGTTCGTTTTCTTCTAGATTTCGTGTTGGATTATGTTGTCTCGTTTTTAAGATTCTAAAACTTTGTAAACAGGGACTTGTAACACAATTTTAAGGTCCAACGATCATGTGTACTGTAAGTTCCAATATTTGAAATGTTATCGCTTATTTAAGACTCATCGTTACCACATAATATATGCTGATTTATCGCAAGAATTCGATGATTTACCGTCCAAACCCTGTATTCAGATCAAAGACATTACGAGCGTGTTAATGTTTCAAAGATGCTCAAATATGTAGACCAAAACTTACATATCCGCTTAACATTTCGCTTGACGGATATGTGAGCGAGTGTATTCGCGATTAATAAGCGTTGCGGAACCATTCATAGTCGGATTCCTAGACTTAATTTGACAAGCAGTTAGATAAATTATAACATTCTAACGCAGGTTAGTTGCGATCCAGAACATTACGGATGGATTCCTTAAAGAAATTACTTTTAAAAATATTATGATTATCTCGAATATTATTCAGTTGTCCATAAAATGGCTGGAAATTTTATGGAACAGTAATTATACTACATGATCAGATTATAAAGTCATTAAAGCTAACAAGCTGGAAAGCCATAAAATCTAGGGTTATGGCTAGCTTTTTCTATATTTATAATACTTCAAACTGAGTATAATGATGTTTATTTTAAATTATATTTTGTAGTTTGAAATGCTGTTATCATTGATTTAATTAAAAAGAATAGTTTAATATGACACCTAATTCAGGCAGCTAAAAGCTCTCGCAGTCAAAGGGATCAAATTAAATGCTTTACATATTATTTGTTTTGTCATACACATTAGCTACATCATAATTTACAGCACTTCTCTAAGAAACGAGTACATTTATTGAGCGGAAGCATCCAACGCCATCTATTCAGCATTTCTTGCAATTCTCTTATTTTAAAGGAAACCGAACTATCATTTTGTTACCATTTTGGTTTGGGACAGAGCCAACTATTTAAAGTGTACACTATTACTTATTTCTTTATAATAAAATCTTAATAAACAGCAAAAAGATATTCTCAACGATATAAAATGCGATGATACAAATGAATAAATACAATTGTTCTTAATGGTACAAAGTATGAGAATTTTTATAATTGATTTAGGTTTGATAATTATAGATTGCAATCAATCACATTACATACTTGATAGCACAGTTTGACACGTAACAAAAATCACTCCAAATCCCCAACCAGTAGTAGAGGACCGTTCAACAACACAAGTCGTGGAAAACTGTCTTTCACTAACAACATGACCTATATACACGTTTCCCGTATCATGATGGTTTTGCGTGGATTAATTATATATAGCAATTAAACATCAAAATGTTTGGCGGCGACACGGAACATTTCTTAGTTTTCACATTTCATGAAACTATTTATCTAATTCCTTGTTTATTTTAGTTCGGATGTTGCGTAACGCTTCGCAGATTTTGTGATATTAATATTGATTCTATGGCTAAGTTGACAAGTGAAGCGAGTGTCTGGATATCTTGGGGTAATGACTTCGTGATATTAATGTAAAAGTTAACACACAAGTTGCATATACAATTAAAATAATATTAAAGAAAATACACAAGTCATTTATATGTTATTAGAATACTAAAAATTTTTTTAAAGGATTTGATGTTTTTGGACCGATTTTTTTATAATCATAGAAAGAATTCTATATATAAATCACCATAACTTGATACTGCCTAACGTCCTTGTCTGATTTCCATACAAACATGTATCCAGGTTATAAATGATGTGATAAGACACCCGTCTAAATATTTTTGGAACGTTTGCGCGTATGTGACGTTAGAACGCGTCATTGTACATAATATCTGATTCATAGGAGAATCTGTGTCACCGTCTCTATATGAAAAAGTGTGATTGCTTAGTCTATATACCTAGATGAGATCTAGTCTTTGAAATACATCTAGGTTTAATGGTGTAAGGGAGTAATACTTTTATTAAGTCCTTGGAAACTTTATCTACATAATACATATTTAATGAATTTGTTACGATTATTTTAGGTACAGGCAACGGATTTGATTGAAAATGTATTAGTTTCTTTGTAGCATTGTCGTTTATTAATGTTGTAAAGCTTTGATTACTTTGCAACAGTTCAATATATTTTGTCGTAGCAATTAAAATACCATGATATTAAAATGTAATGCTCCATATTTCAATGATCATTTCAAAAGTTCAGTGACTAAGAGTAACCGAGTGTAAAGTAAAATTGTTTCTTATATACATATATTAATTTTAATCCTAAATAGCGACGGTGACGCTAGACGAAAAACCAAGAAAATTTACTAAGCATATAAAAGTAATATCAATTCTATCCTAGTATGCCATAAACTTACTATTGCAAGCGTTGTTGAAGTCATCGTCTTTCTTCATATACTGTTCCTCCATTGGAGGGTAGGGTACATAGCGCGGCATCATCATAGGAGATGGTGATCTTTGTTTGCTGAGGTTTAGTGGTGCGTCAGGGTCTTGAGGTGGTGGGGAACGAGCGCTGGCCGTCAGCTGAGCCAATTGAGCTGTAGCTGGCCAGTTGGAAGTTTGAACCACCTGAAAATTATTCATCTATATAGAAATAGTACGAGATTTGTAGTTTATTTAATGCGAGTTTATATTTTATATAATATATTGAAGGTCTGCTTCAAATATTTCATTATTGGAACACTTCTGAATTATGTTGTATTTTAGGAAGATTTTAGAATTGTTGGGTAATATTTTTAAAAATTAATATACATTAATTCACTGGAAAATAATGCATTTTTTAAAATATAACGGTAGTTAAAACTAAATTAACAATACTTAAATGTTAGTTTACTTTTTAACATAGCTGATGAGAGAAGATCAAATTGAAACGGCTCCAAAATTTGCAAATTCTAACCCAGATTTATGATAAATGAGATGCCAACAATCGCGATGGTTCATTAAAATTCAAAAATAAATTATTATTACAGTTTATTACACGTTTTAAGAAACTAAAATTCATTTTATTATACAAATTATTTAATGGATTAAGGTTGTTTACAAGTATTTGATGATCATTGAGTCGCTGCTTAGATATGTAATAATAATAAATTTACTGAAAAATATCATTTATTTTTTACATAAAACAATGTTTGTTTTGCGCTTTCTTTTTTTATCATCTTAAAAGTTGTTATTTTATTAAAAATCCTTACATCAAGAGAATTCTGAACGATATTTTCCATTATTATACACTTGAAATAAATTAATCTTCTCAATTTTAAATGATTTAAATAGTTGAAATCATTGTTTTAATAGAAATAGATTTCAGTAATATAATTGAATTAATCTTTTAACTATTTTCGTTATAGCCGGACATACAAATATAACAGAGGAAACTTCTGTCGAAATAAAAGTTTAGAGACATTCTGTTTCATAATTATCTGTCACGATTATAATATATTTAATTAAGATAAATAAATATGGCGTCATTCTAACGGGCAGGATATTAGCTAATATATTTTTGATGTTAGCATCAACATCAGAAACTAATTAATTAATGAACGCATGACAAAACTATTAAAGTCTCATATTTTTTCGATCGTCTTTTTTTTATTTATAGAAACAAATATTTGAAGACTTACAATACAAACTCGATTATAATTAACATATCATTAATTTTTTATTGATCGTTGACATTTTTTTTTTACTTTTTCATATTTATTGACAGGCGTATTCCTTAATAAATCTGGAAACTAATGATTTGGAACGTAATTTATCAGGATGTTATATGTAATATTATGTGTATCTTGACTTATGTATAATTTTGTAGTTATTCATTCTAGTTACGTAGTTTTGTAATATTTAAATAAAACATATTTCTCAATGGACGGTAATGTATTATAATTGTGTTTTTACGTTTGGCTGAGGTTGTTGGGGTCGCATTTGCTCCAAAAGTGGCAGCAGCGCCAATGGAGGAGCTGGATACAAGGAGTGACCTCGTCGTACCAGCTCTTGTCTTCGGAGATGCTCTTGCTGAAGTCTTTGCAGCTCCAACTCAGCGGATACCGTCCCTATATTCTGAAACCAAAAGTAAACGTTAACATTTTGGAATAAAATCATTTGCTTGGAACAAAAGGTTAAGGACAATCAATCAGACAATTGTAATATTTTCGTACATTTAATGGGAGATCTCTCCTCGCATTTGTCTCCGAAGATATATTGCACACTTAAACTTCGTCATGACAAAGCTAAGTTGCCTGCACAAATCAACCGGGGGACGCTCGGTAAATCTTCGCGACCATAAAGATGTACCACAAAAAAGAAAAGCCCGATTAATTGCTTGCCATCCTGACGAATACCTCAATATACATTTTATCGGCTCTTCATTATGGCGGCATTGAATTGTTAATGGCTTTACGCCACTATATTATAAGGTGACGAAATTAAAACAACCCGATGTAAATTATTTCCGGAAGAAAGTACTTTAATGAAAAATACACATTACAAAAGTTTAAAGCATCCCGTTTGAATATTCCCGACGAGAGACGTACTTAATTGAAATAGGTCCTCGAAAAGATAAAAAGAAAACTTGCTAATGGAAGACAGAAGCGAATACATAAATAAGCATGACATAATCACGCAAATAAAAAGAACCGTTCTGTAATAGGTACCCGCTCCCGATACTGAGGACGGGCGTCAGTGGTAGGTAATCGACCAAGTTTTTCCATCCGACAGACAAATTGCCGTCATAACTGAACGGATTAAACTTTTTATTAAAAACAACAAACCGAGCATAATGTATGGCTGTAATCGGCAAGGGACAGATGTTCCCGAATAACGCGACCGATTTATCTAATGTGTAAAGACTTTTATTTAATATCTCAGCGGAGATGTCCTAGCAATTGGCGCTGATATTTTACGTCGGCCCGTCCGTTATGGCGTTTCGGGCGTTCTTTCATAGCGTAATTAATTTAAGAGATGGTATAAAAAATACCATTTTTGATGGATACGACCAGCTGTTTTAACAATTTATTTGTTGCGCAGGTGACCCGGGATGTCGTAAATGTAACATGTAAATGTGTGTAAAGATAGAGTGATATCATTAAAATGATTGGGTCAACGAATGCCGTGCCAATAGAAGTTGCTGGGCGTGATCTTTAAGCTGATGTCCGATCAATAAAGATGGCCGCTGCTATTATTAACGTGGGTAAACATATACCATCTGTCAAACGTCCTTGGCACCCTTATTCGTGTCTCCTGGGGCACTTAGTATATCAAGACTACATTAATACTTTGAGCTACTATAAATCGTCATTAAGCTATTGTTGATGCTGTGAGATCCGATGAAAGGGAAGATTAAGTTCAGATCAAAATATAATATCGGAGACAGGAATCTTAGGGACAAAGAGATCAAAACGAACACCGGACATACCAAAACATAATTCATCAGGCGTTTATATTAAAATAGTGCTTTTATATATTTTTTATACGATTATAGTCCTAACGTCAATAGTTTTTAGGTCGAAATGTTTCAAATGGCATAGTTTTGGTAAAAATATATTGTCTACTGTATAATTAAACGGACGTCACATTGACGTAAGTGATGCAAAATCAAGGATGAAATCACAATATTTAGTGTCATTAACTATTCTTGTTACTGTTTTATTCTAGGTTAGTTTTTTGGAGCTTTATTAGTGTATTTATAAAGGGTGTAATTTATTTATGGGTCCCATCTGACAACCCTACTTGTTAGACTGTTAGTGGAATGCGTTGATGTGTTGATAATTTGAATAAAGGTTCAAAAAGGGATAACAATTGTTCCCCGGCGTCACAAAGCGCAACGCTGCATAAGCGATGACATATCAAAATGGATCGCTAATGTACTCAGATTATCAAGAATGTTATGGAGATTATTACATATACATTTTTTATTCATAATAAATTTACTAAACAAATACAATAACAAATAATTTTAAGTGATTGATTTTTAAATTTATATATCAACTTTTAAGATGTATTTGTGTAATTTATGACATTATTTAACTTTCAGTTTTGAAAGTAATAGATATGCGAAAAAATGAATAGATTAACTCTTATAAAATCAACTACATACTCTTATAATTTCTACTGTTTATTATATCATATATAAATGAACATACAACAGCGACTCCATTGCGTTCCTGTTCCTTATGATCGGTTCTAAAATGCATTTTAATATCGCGAACAGATTGCACAATAATGCTTTGAATTAATTATTACATTCGCTGAATTGCAATACCATGACTTGTTTTTATTTGTCCGATGAATCTATAGATTAGTTTTGATGTCGACGGAACTTAATAAGCTTATATTACTAAGCTTTTATGTAATATACATACATTGTATAAATGTATTTTTATCGCTTCTTTGAAGTTTGCGTTAGACATTTCAGAGTACGTACAAAAAGTACACTTACATATTTATTATTATTATTATTATACAAATATTAAAGATTACCTTAGATGCATATATACATATATACCTAAAATATATGGACCTTGTATGTCAATTAGAAATGCGTGTAATGTACTGTATCGTTTTGTAATATCTAGTATGTGAATCTTTTATATACGCTCCGTCTCAATAGAACTATAGCAAACATTATGACAACCGCCAATTAAACTGTCAGACTGATCGTGCAACTTGTCGGCCGATCGCCGCGGGATATTTGATAGGTGATTCGCAATTTTTAAGAGATCTTATCTGAGAGTGACGCTGCGAACGCCATTGTGGCGACCTACCATGTTTTATATAGTTTATTATATATCAGAGATGCATCGGTTTATTTGATTTATATACAATATTACATTGAAGATCTAAATACATATATATTTATTACTGATTCGTTCAAAGTAGTATTTGTGGCGAAATTAATTTTAAGTTTGTTCATATGACGTCGATTGTGGCTAAGTATTGAATCTGGTTTGGCTAATCATTGGTTGGAATATTTTGATTTGATAATATCTTAATCAAAAGATATACTAATTATGATAATTATCGAAGTCGGGTAGAGAAAAAAATAGGAATTATAGCGCATATCTATGATTTTTATCACAGATATAAAAAGGCACGTGTCAAGCCGTCGTCTGTGGCTAATTTGCAACCGCTAACAGGGGTACGGAACCCTATTTTTTGTCTTTTTGAATGTAGTGATTGTTTGCACTTCCGAATTAACGAGGGCCAAATAAGATTCTCTTTACAAAGAAATTGGGGTCCATTGAGAGATTTTTTTTATATAAAAATGAATATTGATAGGTCTCGTATTTGAGTTTTTTTGTTTTGAAAACATAATTTATTATTTTTTCGAATAACATAATATAGAGGTCTTAATCGCCGTATACATATATAATTTAATAAACATGAAGTATTATAATATATATTTCTATGTCATAGCATATAATAGCTTTTGACGCCTACAATACAATGTGATAGAATGTATTATTTATCATTTATAAAACAACAATATTGACTCGGATTTTCAAGAATATAATTTAAAAACTAAATATATATGTATTCAAACGTATCTGGTACATAATAATTAAATTGATTTAATTTATATAATATAATAAAATCGTAGCAATTTATTTGCTGTAGATGTTTCACAAACAAAACGTATAATCCTATTACTTGTAAAATACGAGCATACTGAATAAATAAAGAGGATACAAACAAAGCGACCTCAAAGATAAAGGGTCGCTAGACCAACTCCCGAGAGGTAACCCGACCCGTAGCACCCGATTCGTAGCTACCGGTTCGTAGCGACCGGTTCGTAGCCACCGGTTCGTAGCACCCGGTTCGTAGCACCCAACCCAACCCCGTAACCCCCCGTCTTACCCGGATGCTCGTCCCACTTGAGCTTTTCTTTTATACCTTGCGTACTCTTATATTTATTTTTGTTTCCCGTTAGACGGTGGAAATAATGGAGTTGTTTTTGTATGGACGGGTCTAAAGCCTTTAGAATAGATCGGTATAGTAATGAAAATAATATTTATATATGTATTTATTATTTTTTTATACGTAATATTAGAAAATTATAAAGAATGAAATGGTAAGAATTGCGTAATTTATTATTATATATGAAATAGTATAAATATATTTTTTGTCTCATCCATATTAAGTTCAACGTCAAGATGTTTTGTGGTTAGAATGAGTGGAGGGCCATCATTATGCTGCTTCGCATTCAATCTTGTAGTTTATCTCATTTTTAAACAAACCGCCTCCGTATAATGGACAGAGAATGAAGAATACACTTGTATTTTTAATTACAAATGGCTTTAATTAATGTGTTTTACTTGAATTTTCTTATAATTGTATGGTTCTGTTCCATCAATTAGCGCTGGGGAGGCGAATATTGCTATATAAAGATTTTTTTATGATTTTTAAAGTGTATTGTATTGTTTTTTAAGTCTCTTTGTATTAACATTGGTCAGTCTAATCAGGGAAAGAATATGTTTAATTTATTTCAGTTTTAAAGCATAATTGTAAAGGAATTAGTTTTTATGTTTAATATTTATCAATACTTATTAAGCCAACGACAAACAACTGTCCGTGAATTCCATGTATTTTTAAATTAAATTAAAATATGCTAATAATATTTCGAATTTAGAACACTTCAATTTCGATAATGAATTTAAAATATTTAAATTGACAAAGAACCCGTTTGAAATTTAAAAAGATTCTGATTATGTTGAGAATTTTTTTTCGTAAATCTTAGATTCCTTGAGCGTACGAAATGTTAGCAGAAATGTAACATTTCCCGCTTTGTCCGCATCAATGGCGCTGCCACAAAAGTGCGAAACCGTAAAAGAAAAGATTAATAAAGCTTAGCACACACCGACAACACCTGTCCTTTGTCGCTAATGGACGCCAGCCTTAATCTCCACGGACGCAAGGGAAATGTAATAATGGATTTTAGTTTGTCAGTTATTACGTATAGTGCTTATATTGTTAATCATAAGCCAAGAACAGGGCATTTTGGAGGATTTTTCTTGAAATATATATAAAATGTGACTTATTTTTCGATGCTTAAAATATTTTAT